CCTTCCAGGCAGCTACTTTCAGCCTCAAGCTTCAACATTGTAAAGGACACAAGTGAAAACGCAGAAAGGATACTAGCTGGCAGAAAGGCAATCTCATTGTCACACCTAAAAATTGAAACATTTTTAGCACATTTTTCACATAATAATTCGCATTAATAAATATTTTGCACATTTTCTTGACAGAATCTTATGATTCTAATTGATCTTTACATTTTTGTGCAGTTTTTGGATTTCTAATTGTTTTCAATTAAATATCCCTGTTTGGTGACAAAATTATACAATTCTTCTTATTTTCTATTCAGTTAGGTCATATTATTGTGTGTTTAATGCTAAATTGCAATAAAACAATGGCTAACTCTTAGGAGAAAAGGTTTTCCCTTATGCATAAGGTCTCCAATAAAGTAATTCAGCATATTTTCTGGTCAGATGTCTTTTATGAGTGGAAAATGTATTTGGCAGAATTTTGCCCCTTTTTGCACCACTGTGCCAAAAGCACCTTTTCTCCTAGCATACTGCTCACTAACACCTTTGTGGAACAAACATGCTTCAACTTATTCAGTGCAAATTTTCTTGACTTATTATCTAGATGTGGATCTACAAAGTCTAAGGGGTCATCCAGAGTTTTAAACGGGCTTTCATGGTGTTTTTTTTTAATTATTATTATTTCTTTTGTTTAATCACCTATAAATCAGACATGGTGAGATTAAAAGTAGTGATTTCACCTGAAAAAATATCCCTCAATGCCTTTCTGTCATACAAAGAATTGTATTTCCAATTTATAGTTTGGGAGCTGTACTTGCTTTATGTCACATATGAAATTTCACAAGGAATTTTCTCCTAAGACCATCAGGCTTAAGGGGTGAAAGAAAAAGTTAACGGTATGTGCAAAATTAATCAGCATACAGATTATTGTAATTTACAAGATTTGTTTTTAAGATTAAAATTAACAGTATTAACAAAATAAAAAAAATCATAGATTATAATAATTTAAAACCTGTTTAAGACCTAAAGTTAACAGTATGTACAAAACCATAGATAATTTACAATATTCATGTTTTAATTACAGTTATCAGCGTGTATAAAACAAAACTGGATTATAGATCATTTTAATTTACAACATGTTTTTAAGAGACAAGATTAACAGCATGTGCGTACCAGAATGTGAGAATGATTGAGAGTCAGGTGGAAGCATAACTACATCCATCTCTACTGTACCTGTGATTGTGGGCTCTTTGCCCTTGTCTTTACAAGAGGCCCATTTTCATAGTTTGTCAGTAAACAAGCAACAGTGCACAGCTCATTGATATTGCCAAGTAGCCTAAGAAGGATCTTTCACCCTGAGGTGTGCAATTTCTTGTATCCGTGACCTCAGGAGCAGACATCTGGGATCTTCCAAAGAGAAAGGGTGGCCTGTAGATCATACACCGCACAAACTCATCAACAAAGAAACCTTGATCAACCATGATTTCCATTCCAGTTCTTAAAAGGGAGATGATTCCAGACCCTTGCATGATCTGCTTGTCACTGATTAATCTTGCATACAGTGGAGAGATGAATATAATCCCCTCATGTGGAGCAATACCAATCAATGCTTTTAGAGTGCAGTTAGACTCGTTTACAGAGCACACTTCACTCTGGAGTAGAGGACATTGCTATTAAACTAGAGATCTAATTGTGGTCTCGATATTAATAATGTAATACCTCTCTCTGAATCATGCTTGGTGTTATAAATGTTTTAAAAATTGTGTGTAAATTAGCACATAAAGGGATATACAAGTGGTGTAGTTGAATTTAAGGAAAATAAAATCATGTAACAATATCATGCACAAGTATGTTATTTTTTGCCTAGATAAACACTCTGAAATTATTTTGAAAAAGAAATACTATGGTTTTAAAATATTTAGGCATCCAGAATTGCAGCCACATTAATAACGTTTGTAAGAAATCAAACCATTTATATATACATCAATATTTCAGTGAAATAAAATGATTTGCTTTTCTTTCAAGGAGAAACAATAGATCCTGCTAGAGACCAGAAGATGTGAAAGAATGTAGAATGGATTGATTTTTACTCTTGGTTTCACAATGAAATAGAAATAGATTGAACTGATGTTTTGTTATTGAAGTCAACATTTTTTGTGGGAAAATAACATGGTAGAAAGAGGACACCCTCGATGCTGACTGTGTTTCTACATGTTCATTGTGTTAAAGGTAAAATTTATTCATTATCAAGTCATTGGCTCACCTAAGAAAGAACAAAGTACAACATTCTTCAACATTATTCTTGATTTTTTTCAGTACTGTTAACTTTAAACACAATCCTGGTAGAGGCATATGTTTTCAGACCATTTAAAGAGATTAGAGTTAAGCACAGGTTTTTTCTGGTCTTAAAACATTTTAAAGGAAAGGTCCAGTCATATTCAGCATTCCCTGTCTGAAAGTACTTATACATGTGGAAAAAAATAAATGCTAAACGTGAAAGTATTACATACTGTTGTGTCATGTGCCATGATCGTGGTTTAGGACCTCGACATATTTCACGATGAATGGAGAAGAAAATGCTGTTTTGACTCATAAACAGGTGTAAGACCTCTTCAACCCCCGACACAATACACAAAATTTCACTCTCTTTCCCATGAAGCTGCCAGGGGGCCCACATGTAAAAAAGCCATTAGTGGATCAAGGCCCAAAAAGGCCCGGATCCCCAGAATGTCATGATGGTGACTTTTCAGAACCACACTGCTGCGAAACAGACATTTTGCAACTCATTTCTCTTGAGTTTCAGAACTTATCGAGCTTGTTCACAAGTGAGGGAAAGATGGAGTGTGAGATCGATAAACGGATCGGTGTGGCATCGGCAGTGATGCGATCGCTGTATCGGACTGTAGTGGCGAAGAGGGAGCTGAGTCGAGGGGCAAAACTCTCGATTTACCAATAGATCTTTGTTCCCACCCTCACCTATGGTCATGAGATCTGGATAATGACCAAAAGGACAAGATTGCTCCTCCACATCGCAAGGAGCTAGCTGAGGTTGTACGGGGATCTGTTCCGGATGGTTCCTGGGGAGATCTTCTAAGCGTGTCCCATTCGGAGGAGTTCTAATGGAAGGCCCAGGACATGCTGGAGGGACCATGTCTCTGAGCTGGCCTGGTGTCACCTTGAGGTCCCCCCCAGAGCAGCTGGAGGAGGCATGTTGGGGTATCTCTGCTTAGACTGCTGCCCTGGCCCCGGATAAAGCGGAAGAAATGGATGGACTACTAGTTCTGTAACTCACAAATTGAAATCATTTTTTCACATTTGACTGAGACAAATTCTGAAAAATTATTTTTAAAAAGTCAAGCAAAAAAAAAAAAATGGTGTGGCTACAAAGCAAGGCCCCACCACATGACCAGGTTGCCACACAGCTTCTCAAACCAGAACAGGTACAGGTTGTGAGACAGCTTATATGGGTAGTGGATTAGGCAGCAAGAGCTGATTCAGGGAGCTTTCTGTAAAGTTTGCCAAAACGTTTTTCTGTTTTTCATAAATATTGGACGATGATGAGCTGGACTTACCTGCACTGTCTGGCCCGCCTTTAAAATTCCTTGTTACTAATTGTAGAACAGGGCAGATTAAATTACTACAAAAGAAGGTTTATACATTTCAAATTTGTTAAAACAATAAATGCTATGGAGTAGCAATTAACACTGGCTTCTTCTTGCATTTCATGCAATGAGAGATAAAGACAGAATTTCACAACATTCTTCAACAAGACTGAAAGGAGAAGCTGGTAGGGTATGGAAAATGGATGACTGACTTCCAGAGGAGCTACTGCGCATATAAAACTTTTAATGAGATTCAATTGCTCTGTTCAAATTCATGGGCTGCATCCTCCAAGGACGCGGTCTACCTAGACTGGATCCTTCGAAGTCCGTGAAAATAAGAAGACCGGAAGTGTTTTGGCTGTGAATTCAAACAGGTCTACCCTTCGGCGGGTTTTACCGCTGTATGCTCTGTTGCTTAGCAACCATGGCAGTTGACACACAAAGCAGGAAAACAATGAATACCGAAGTTTTAAAAACTGTTTGTTTATTTATTTTTTATTATAAAGTGAACAAAGACTACACTCACGAGAATCCAGAATGGAATAAAGGTTCCAACCACCGGGAGCAGGAACAAATAAAATCAAATGTAACGATAGAAACCTTAGTCAGTTAAATAACCTGCTGCTGTCATTCTGCACATCTCTGATGTTGCTGCTATTTTCAAATATCCATTACTGTAAAAATGTCCATAGCTGCATATTGGTTATTTATTCTCCAGGTGCACAGTTTGATATTGTTAAAACACTTTACAGGATTTTATTGTTTATATTTTCTCTTCCCTATTATGTTATTCTTATAAATTTTTCTAATGTCCAATTTGTGTGACTATTTTCAATAATCTTTCTGCTGCAGTAAATTTGCCCATGGTGGGACAATAAAGAGCCCTGCGATGGACTGGCGACCTGTCCAGGGTGTACCCTGCCACTCACCCATTGACAGCTGGAGATAGGCACCAGCATCCCTCGCGACCCCACTCGGGATAAGCGCGTCAGATAATGGATGGATGGGACTATAAAGAGAATTTCTATTCTATTCTATAAAAGGGGTAGAAATATATAAGTACATCTAAACAATGTATGGTATAAAAAATATATCTGCAAAATCACATGTCAGATTTATAGTGCCCACAATGCAGATATATTAGAATCTGTTCTTAAATTACAGCCAAACCCATTTACACAGTAACAGATAAAAACCTTTAGATAAATCAAACATTGCCATCACATATCATTAAAAAAACTATTTTCATTGATTTCAGACGGAACTATTCACATACTTATTCATTTAAACTGAACTTTCAATTTTCACCACTGTTCGGCGCCAAGTAACCTTTCCACTGATCACAGCTTGCTTGGTCTCGCAATGAATCCTGGGATAACCAAGGATACCGAGGATACATCGGACCCGTCCTTCAAATCGGGCAAAAAGAAGGATGCATTTTAAGGTCGCATGACGAGGAGTCTTGGAATCCGACCAGACCTCGGCGCCGTGCTATGACGTCATCGTCCATCGAATCTGGCCTTCTAAACCAGATTCCCATGAATTCGAGCAGGGCCAATGGGCAAATAATTTTGGGCCCTATGGCGAAAATACATCACCAATTTGACGAAAAATTAAACAGCGCTTAACTTGTTATTAAAGATTGAATAGAAAATTTTAGAAATATTTTAAATTTATAATTTAATTTTAATTAGTTTTTTTATGTCGTGAACTGAGAAGGGGTGGCGCCCTTACGCCCTCTAATGGCCAACAGGCACTGCTTGGAAGTTTAATTAGGTCATTTTAGAACAGATAACAATAATTAACTGCAAGGTGGAATGTAAAGCCTGATGACATCTGAACTAGTGTTTCAATAAGTACATATCTTATTTCCAATAATCCAATTTTCAATGAAATGCAGAGACTGTAAAGGGGGGCACAGAGAGGTTAAAACCTTCTGAACAAAGAATTGACAGAATCCACTTTAATCATGTCTAATATTTGTTTCTGATAAAAATAGATAAAACTTCATTACTAAAACACTTAGATTTATTGATCACCATTTTATTTGATAAAAACTGTTGATGAAACAGATTAATTTGGATTAAAGGTTTTCAATATTTTTTTTAAATGTTGCAAATATTTTTAAATAAAAATCATAAAACTGGCAGTACATCCTGTGTTATTGTCCAATATTTCAATATTGAAGTCTATTGGGAAATGATCTGGCTTATTAAAACATAGCAGATACTGACAGTGAGGAACTGAACAACCAGCAGGGCAGTTCAAACAGCAGCTCCACTCACATCATCATTTTTCATCACTAATCAGTTCCAGGAACCCTGATCTTCACAGCCCACAGATTCTGAGGAGGCACCCTCTTTATCTGGGAAAGGAACCATTACAGAACTAACTCCAGCAGAAGCCTTGGCATAGCACCGGAAGCACATCGTGGAAAATCCCAATATAAAGCTATGACTGGAAAAATAATCACAGCTTTGGATCCTTTTCACCAGTGTGAGAGTTTCTCTGATGGGAGGAGACTCTTTAGACTCAACACAGAAAAACTGAGGAACCAGGATAGATGAATAATCCAGGATAAAGAGGTTCATTGAATTTGGTGTTGAAGGTGAAGAGGTGGATTAGTGAGTTAGAGGAGGCTCTGTAGAAGGACAGAATGCCAGCAGGACAGTCCATATACACTGCTACTCTGTTAGAGACAGAGGAGGAGGAGGAAGAGGAGTAGGAGATGGGTGTAATCTTCTTGTTGTGCCTGACAGAGTAACCACTTTCAGAGTAGCTCAGACTCCAGGAATGATCATTCCATCCAAACAAACAGTCATAACTTTCTCCTTTCCTCCTGATTCTTCTGTAACTCACTGATATAGTAACTCTTCCTTTCCACTCAACCTCCCAGTAACAGCGACTATTTAGACCATCACTGCACAGCAGCTGATACCAGTGATCAAATCTGTCTAGATGATCAGGATTTGACTGAAGCTCCCTCACATGTGTCACCTTCCTGTTGTCTTCAGACAGTTTCAGGTTTCTGCTCACTGTGTTTGTGTCGATTGTGAGCTGACAGGAATCTGATGGAGAAATCAAATACAATCCAGGTGCAGTTATTGATCATTTATTGACACTTTGATGATGATTCCTGAATGAATGATGGACAGTTTGAAGATGGCTGAATGTAATAAATCCAATGAAAAACACACTTACACTTCTTCAGATCTGGTTTCAACCATCTGACTCCATCAGGCTCCCTGAAAGGAGGAGGGGGTCAGACCATCAGTGTCTTTCAGCAGGAAAACATGGACATTGTAATAGAACAGATCAGATTCCACTCTGACATGCTGCTGGAAGAACTGGATCTGGGTCATTTGGACTTGATTACTTGCCTCATACATTAATGGTTCATTGTAGGAGAAACCAAAGTGATAGAACAGTATCAAAGAAAACAACAAGATGCAGCCTGAACCTTCTGTCTGTTGTTAACAATAAACTATGCAGTAAAGGGCCAGCTGATGACCAAGGAACCTTGGCTCATTTTTGTGTTAGCAAAGTTGCAAATAACCAGGCCTCTGGATTCTCTTAATTTCCCACTTCAGACATTTTAAAGTCCAAATCAACTTAGGTGTTTTTTCCTGTCTCAGTACTGAAGGTTCTGCCATAGCAGAACCTTCAGAAGAACCTTCTTCACTCAGAAGAAGAACAGAAATGAACAAGTGGAACATTTGGACTTGTTCATTTGAATGGAGAGTCCTGTCCTGTAGTTGTCATGTTTCAGCACAGTTTGAACTCATTCTTTTCATTTCATCTTTTTAATCAGGCATGAGGAGGACACGATCCAGTCTGGTTCTTACTTGAGCTCTTAGATCTTTAACATTTACTTAGTCCAGCATGTACACTGAGATTGAAGCAGATTGATGAGATAAAAGACAATCGCTAAGGTTTTTCAGCATCTATCATCTTGCATCCTGGACAAAATGAGCAGCAACAGCTTTAGCTTCTCAAAAGTCTTCAGTCCTGACTTGTCTTAGAATTGAACTATTGCAGTCCTCTCCTAAGATAGGAGGAACATGGAAGTGACTGTTCTGATCTTCACTGAAAACATCAGGTACTGCATTCTAAGGTCTAAGCAAGTAAAGTGATGGGCAGATGCTCCAGATCTGCTAAATTCCTGATGTCCATACCATTGAACCATCTGCTATTAGATATAACAAGAACTCCACCACCTGCTAATGTTCCTGCCTTTGCTGTTCTGTCCACCCAGTGCAAGGGAAAGAATTGGACAATATCATGGTGTGGTCCAGGACAACAAGTGTTCTCCATGTCTCAGAGAAGCAGACAAGGTTGGGATCTCTGATGGTCTGCTGGAACCTTAGTCTGGCCACAGGTGAAGCAGTTTGATGTCCAGAAACTGGGAACTGGCAACCATCATCCTCTGGGCACTGGGTGATGGTGTGTTTGTTCACTGGTTCTGGTTCCCACTACAGCAGATTCTGCTTTCTTTGTTTTGTCAGTATTTCTGTCCTCCTGCTTTGTTCTTTGAACTGAGATGTATCTGTGGAGGCCACCCGGAGTCTACAAACTTTGCGTAGATGGTACTAGAAGGTACAAAATACTCAATATTCTGGAAGTACTTATAACAAAAGTGTTTCTTTGGAAAAGTGAACTTAAAGAGACGTTCCATCACTGGAACCAGTACAGAGAATCTGATCTTGGTCACCATGATTCTAAATAAGACACTAAAACAGATGATGAACTAACTGCTTTCTGTTTCAGCCAAGAAACAATCACTCAGAAAGATTTACCAAAACATCATCAATGCAGCATTTAAAGCATTTGGGTCTGCGAAACAGAAAACATTGAACCTCATTAGAACCCAGAAAATCCAGTTTAGTGAACCCTCACCTGAATATTTCCAGAGTCCAGTCTGAACCAGACAGAAACTTCTGCCCTGAATCTTGGAGGTTGTTATTCTTCAGATCAACTTCTTTCAGAAAACAGAACTTGGACCTCAGAACTGATGACAGAACTACACAAGTTCTACCTGAGAGGTTACAGGATCTAAGTCTGAGACAAAATTTAAAAAGTCAGCAAAGAAGAAACAGATGTTATTCAGACAGACAAACTTTGTCTCAATCCATGAACAGTCAGGATTATCGAGTTTGTTCTGATAAAAATAGAAACACTACATTGTCTGTAATGACCAGAAAATGGAAGACCCAGAATTCAACCAGAACAACAAGGGACATGTTAACAGGTTGTGAGAGATTCACCAATGTCAGTAACCAGAACTTCTGATAGGAAGTTGAACAGTAATATTAGCAGACAGAAAAAGAGGGAGATGTCTCTATAGTTGAATTCTGGCTCAGTAACCTTTTCTGTGTTGTGAACAAACTTTGTGAGTTTCTGAAGATACCAGTTAATTTGTGACATCACTGGTGAATCTCAGAAGATTCAAAAAGCCGTTCAGGCTGATTTTAAGGTATCCTTCTTTGACAGTTAATCATTGCTCTAAGGAAATACACAGGTTGAGATCCATTAGAGCGGAGTCCAGCTAAATGCTCCAAGGGAGAAACTGGTGTTCGGGGTCCAAAAACAGAGGTTCATAGACAATCCAGGGGAGAATCAAAGAGCAAGATCAGGGCACAGAAAACAGATCAGAGGTCCAAAATTAAACTATGACAGGTCCGATAGGGTTCAGGCAGGCTCAGAGAATCAGGTGGCAGCATCAGGTGAGAAACAGACAGGCAGGTGACAGGAACGCTGAATTAAACTTATCGGTGGCTAGTAATAATCTGCCCCTAGTGGCTGGTCTGAGAGTTGGTTAAATGGTCAGGTAAGCAGATGAATCTGATGTAGGCTAATTGAAAACGAGGCAGAGCTGATAGGTGTCTTGAATACTTAGTCAGACCAGCACTAGTGTCAGTAATCTTATACATGTTCCACTGATCTGACTCCTGCTAGCCGCCAGCCAGTTCAAGTGGTAAGTCACCCGACTCACACTCAGGAGTCACTTTGGATAAAAGCGTCTGTTAAATACATAAACATAAACTCCCGTAGGAATCTTATGTTTGGATTGGGAATTTAGCTTTCATATTGATATGGGGCTTACAACCTCATACAGATGCATCTAATTTAGGATAATACCTGGTGGAGGTGGACATTTTGAAGGCAGAATAACAGGTCTTTGATGGCCAGAATTCTATCTGATAGACAGGTTTTCTAATTCTTATTTGCAGCTGTATCGTACAAATAAATAGATAAAAAATCATGCATTGTGATTTCTAGAATTTATTTTTACATTATGTCTGTCACAATGCTCATGCACCTACGATGCAAATTTCAGACACCTCCATGATTTTTAAGTTGGAGAACTTGCAAAATGGCAGGGTGTTCTAATATTTTTTTGCTCACAGTAAAGTTTATCTATAGCCAGCGTAGCCCTGATACCTTCAGATATTCATTTTTTTCTGATCAGGAACACAACTCGTCTTTGGACAAAAATTTATTTCAGAAACAGATAATTAACCTTGAAGTGCCTGTCCCTCAGCTCTTTGACTGGACTTTTTACACATTTTTCCTTATAGTTCATAAATTTAGCAGCTATACACTGGAAAAATTATCTAGAAGTAAGTAAAAATTTCTTAAATTAAGTGTATTTACCCTTAAATTAGGTAAACAAGATAGTTTGCCAATGGAATTAGTATTTTTACTCTTAAAATAAGACAATTGGATAAAATGCTCTTGAAATAAGACAATGGAATTGTGTTTTCTTATTTAACTGTAAATTGTCTTGTTCCATTGGCAAAATGTTTATTTTACCTCCTCAATCCAAGAACAAATGCACTTATTTTAAGAAAAAATAACGTATCTAGATTTCAATTTTTCCAGGGTAGCTCTAGGTCTGTTGTTATCACGTCTCTTACCTCAAAGCTGGAGAAAGCACTGGAATGAGATGTTTTTCAACTGTTCACTAAAGAGTTTCAGCTGATGTTGGAGAAAATCTTGGATAGTAGATTCGGGCTCTTCCAAATTATCCATATCCAATTATCCCTCATGCTAAGGGCCTGCAGATCCAAAATGGTCTCCTTCATCTTTGGAGGATTTTTACATCCTCCTTTAGCACTTTATTCTCCGCAGTAGCTAAAACTAATTGAGGTTGACTCAAATCGAGGGACTCCCTCACAGCCTAGAATTCTTAATGGAGAATTTCAACCAGGGCAAGGAAAGCATCAAAGCTTGCAAGTTTTTTGTTTTCTTCTGCATAGATATTGCAGCTGCTAATGGCTGAACAATTCAAACGGTGTGGTGTTGTTACCATGTGATTTCCATGTTTAGTTCATCACAATGTTGACAATGACTAATCGATGTAAGAATTTAGGCTCTTCAAAGTTTCCTTGTCCAGTTTGAGTAGAAAAATCAGAGAAAATTAAGCTTAAAATTTTAAATGTCAACACGCTTGTTTTATAGTTGTTAATTTGTTTTACCTGAATTAGACATATTTACTTGAATAAACAGGTTTAACTGTTTATATTTTATACCAGTCTAACACCATATTACTCACAAAGAGCTCTTGGGAGATTGTTTAGCGTCTCATCCGGTCCTCATCCATGTGATTTGTAATGATCATACCTGTCCATAATGTGAAAAGACTACAAACTTGTGGAAAGATAGCAGTATTGGCTCTACTTGAAGACAATGGAAGAATGAGAAGGGTGGTATTTTAGTTTAAACTGATTGGATCCTACAAGTAATCATTTGGATCCCAGCATATTTTTCTTTAGGAACAACAATGTTTACATTCAGCTGGAAATCGTTTTGGATGAAGATTTCAGTAAAATACATGGTTATATAATGTATTTTTGTTTAAAAAACAATCATCAACCCACATTGAGTTCTGGTTCACTCCACCTTTTGCTTCACCTTAAGCTTCATTATCAGGGTTTAATGATAGTTTTTGATTTAGCTGGGAGTCTTTATTTTCTGTCTAACTTTTTTAAATAGTTGTAAAACATGTTCCAATGCTCACTTCCATCAAATAAACATTCAGTATAAATTCAAATCTGTCCTGGACTGATGTTCAGACCTGAGAGTTTCCAGTTTGCAGTTTGGACTCTTCAGTCCAGAAGACAGCAGCTCCACTCCAGAATCCTGCAGCTTGTTGTTACTCAGATCCATCTCTCTCACATTAGAGGACTGGGAGCTGAGAACTGAGGCCAGAACCTTACAGCTTTTCTCTGAGAGGTTACAGTCATTCAGCCTGAAGAGACAGAGAGAGCAATGAAGAACTATGATATAATAAAACATTTAAAAATTTAGATTAAGCAGAACAGACTAAACATTTGATAAAATAAAATCTAAGAAACGCTGAAGCAAAGCAACGCGTGTGAAAACCCTGAAACAGATCAAAATGGGATGGGAGCAAATTTTTATATTCTGTAAACTGTTTAACTTTTAAATGATTCTTCAGTCCGCTCAGACTGAGCTGCAATTTGCAACACTGTACCACTGCAAATTAAGAATTGTCACCATTTTGCACTTTTGGTTCTTTTTAAGTTTTTTTTTTGTTTGTTTTCATATGTTTCATTTGCATTTTCATGTGATTTCTGGATGTATTTGAGTTCTATGTATTTCTACCTTACCTCACTTTTGCCCCTTAAATCCCTTCTAGATTGTTCCTGCTCTCAATCAGTTCATTACCACAGTCTTTGTTCTACTCCTCCTCTTCAGTTACTGCTTGCTGGTTCTATGTTGTTTCACTATCCTTTTGAAACCGTACCCAAAGCAGTCCGAGCACGGTAGAGTATGAATGGCACGGAAACTGAACTGGACCGTGCCAGACACAACCGAACCGTGCTAAACTAGTTCTAGTTCATCAGTAGGGCTCAGTGAGGTTCAGTTGAGGCTCGGTTCTCAGATAACAGAGAGCGTATGAGCAGACCGCATCATCCTCTTACAGTCAGCCTCTATACTCATGAAATTTCAGACATTCATAAAAATACTAACTTCCCTACCTTGTCACACCATTTGCAGTGATGATTCTGCTTAGCAGTGTGATGAACCTCAACGTCTGTCATTGATTCTTGCATCCATTAACCCTAATTAGACTATCGTTTGAGTATCCACTTCCCAAAAGCTGACTCTTTCAGGTAAATTCACCAAAGGCTGCCTTCTTTGCCAGACTCTCCGCAAACAATGAAATATCACAATTATAACCAAGCCCCTGACTGTTATGAACAACACTATGTTGATTTGCTTGATTTTCTCTAAAGAGCAGTAGTACTGTAGATCGTCACTAGGAGGCGAGGAACCGTTCCAGCTCGATGTGTAAATGGTTCTAAGGAACTAAGCTCGGAACAGTGAACTGATCCAAGCATGGTCCGAAGTCAGCACGGATCGGTTTCAGAGGGTCAGTGTAAATGGGGCTAAAGACACAGTTGAACTTCGAGGGAATCACCAACTTCTATTGTCATTCTTTGTTTTGTTTTCTGTCTAAGCCCATAGTCTGTCAGTACTTACAGAACTTTTTTTGAAGCTTTGACCACTGGCAGCAGCATGAGAAGAGCCTCCTCTGAAGCAGAGTATTTCTTCAGATAATCCCGCAACTTTTCTCCTGATTCTTGGAGGTTATTGTTCTCCAGGTCAATCTCTCTCAGACGGCAGGATTTGGAGCTAAGAACTGATAACAGAACTTCACAAGTTCTCTCTGAGAGGCTACAGGACCTAAGTCTGAGAGACAAAATGAAACAAGTAAAGAAGAAGAAACAGATGTTATTTGAACATAAAAACATTTTCTCAATCCATGAATAATCAAGATGGTTTGCTCAGATATAAACAGAAACCCTATATTGGCTCGGTATTTATGTTCCACTCTTCCGACCCCTGTAGGATCCTCATTTTTAGGTTGGGAATATAGCTGTCATATTAATATTGGGACGTAAGAAAGGTACATATGTACTAAAAGCCTCTGAAGCAATTCATCTTAATTTGGTATTTACTAAAATAAATCTTACCTGAAAGAGAGATACTTTGCGCAAATATTTATATACGGGGAGAAAAAATAATAAGGCCCCAGAATTCATAAAAATAAGTTCTGTTGAGTCCAGCTTTCACCTGACGCTGCATTAGTAGAGTTTAGTGATATCCTGGAGTCTTATGTTTTAGTGTAACTATTTAAAGTTGCAATAAAAAATTTTCCAATCCTCACTAAGCTCATTGCATCTTTATTCACAATAAATATAGTTATAAATCAAGGCTTAAAATCTGTCCTGGACTGATGTTCAGACCTGAGAGTTTCCAGTTTGCAGTTTGGACTCTTCAGTTCAGAAGACAGCAGCTCCACTCCAGAATCCTGCAGCTTGTTGTTACTCAGATCCATCTCTCTCACATTAGAGGACTGGGAGCTGAGAACTGAGGCCAGAACCTTACAGCTTTTCTCTGAGAGGTTACAGTCATTCAGCCTGAAGAGACAGAGAGAGCAATGAAGAACTATGATATAATAAAACATTTAAAAATTTAGATTAAGCAGAACAGATTAAACATTCAATAAAGTAAAAGCTAAGAAACGCTGAAGCAAAGCAACGTGTGTGAAAACCCTGAAACAGATCAAAATGGGATGGGAGCAAATTTCTATATTCTGTAAACTGTTTAACTTTTAAATGATTCTTCAGTCCGCTCAGACTGAGCTGCAATTTGCAACACTGTACCACTGCAAATTAAGAATTGTCACCATTTTGCACTTTTGGTTCTTTTTAAGTTTTTTTTTTTTTTGTTTTCATATGTTTCATTTGCATTTTCATGTGATTTCTGGATGTATTTGAGTTCTATGTATTTCTACCTTACCTCACTTTTGCCCCTTAAATCCCTTCTAGATTGTTCCTGCTCTCAATCAGTTCATTACCACAGTCTTTGTTCTACTCCTCCTCTTCAGTTACTGCTTGCTGGTTCTATGTTGTTTCACTATCCTTTTGAAACCGTACCCAGAGCAGTCCGAGCACGGTAGAGTATGAATGGCACGGAAACTGAACTGGACCGTGCCAGACACAACCGAACCGTGCTAAACTAGTTCTAGTTCATCAGTAGGGCTCAGTGCGGTTCAGTTGAGGCTCGGTTCTCAGATAACAGAGAGCGTATGAGCAGACCGCATCATCCTCTTACAGTCAGCCTCTATACTCATGAAATTTCAGACATTCATAAAAATACTAACTTCCCTACCTTGTCACACCATTTGCAGTGATGATTCTGCTTAGCAGTGTGATGAACCTCAACGTCTGTCATTGATTCTTGCATCCATTAACCCTAATTAGACTATCGTTTGAGTATCCACTTCCCAAAAGCTGACTCTTTCAGGTAAATTCACCAAAGGCTGCCTTCTTTGCCAGACTCTCCGCAAACAATGAAATATCACAATTATAACCAAGCCCCTGACTGTTATGAACAACACTATGTTGATTTGCTTGATTTTCTCTAAAGAGCAGTAGTACTGTAGATCGTCACTAGGAGGCGAGGAACCGTTCCAGCTCGATGTGTAAATGGTTCTAAGGAACTAAGCTCGGAACAGTGAACTGATCCAAGCATGGTCCGAAGTCAGCACGGATCGGTTTCAGAGGGTCAGTGTAAATGGGGCTAAAGACACAGTTGAACTTCGAGGGAATCACCAACTTCTATTGTCATTCTTTGTTTTGTTTTTTGTCCAAGCCCATAGTCTGTCAGTACTTACAGAACTTTTTTTGAAGCTTTGACCACTGGCAGCAGCATGAGAAGAGCCTCCTCTGAAGCAGAGTATTTCTTCAGATAATCCCGCAACTTTTCTCCTGATTCTTGGAGGTTATTGTTCTCCAGGTCAATCTCTCTCAGACGGCAGGATTTGGAGCTAAGAACTGATAACAGAACTTCACAAGTTCTCTCTGAGAGGCTACAGGACCTAAGTCTGAGAGACAAAATGAAACAAGTAAAGAAGAAGCAACAGATGTTATTTGAACATAAAAACATTTTCTCAATCCATGAATAATCAAGATGGTTTGCTCAGATATAAACAGAAACCCTATATTGGCTCGGTATTTATGTTCCACTCTTCCGACCCCTGTAGGACCCTCATTTTTAGGTTGGGAATATAGCTGTCATATTAATATTGGGACGTAAGAAAGGTACATATGTACTAAAAGCCTCTGAAGCAATTCATCTTAATTTGGTATATAGTAAAATAAATCTTACCTGTAAGAGAGATACTTTGCGCAAATATTTATATACGGCAAGATAAAATAATAAGGCCCCAGAATTCATAAAAATAAGTTCTGTTGAGTCCAGCTTTCACCTGACGCTGCATTAGTAGAGTTTAGTGATATCCTGGAGTCTTATGTTTTAGTGTAACTATTTAAAGTTGCAATAAAAAATTTTCCAATCCTCACTAAGCTCATTGCATCTTTATTCACAATAAATATAGTTATAAATCAAGGCTTAAAATCTGTCCTGGACTGATGTTCAGACCTGAGAGTTTCCAGTTTGCAGTTTGGACTCTTCAGTTCAGAAGACAGCAGCTCCACTCCAGAATCCTGCAGCTTGTTGTTACTCAGATCCATCTCTCTCACATTAGAGGACTGGGAGCTGAGAACTGAGGCCAGAACCTTACAGCTTTTCTCTGAGAGGTTACAGTCATTCAGCCTGAAGAGACAGAGAGAGCAATGAAGAACTATGATATAATAAAACATTTAAAAATTTAGATTAAGCAGAACAGATTAAACATTCAATAAAGTAAAAGCTAAGAAACGCTGAAGCAAAGCAACGTGTGTGAAAACCCTGAAACAGATCAAAATGGGATGGGAGCAAATTTCTATATTCTGTAAACTGTTTAACTTTTAAATGATTCTTCAGTCCGCTCAGACTGAGCTGCAATTTGCAACACTGTACCACTGCAAATTAAGAATTGTCACCATTTTGCACTTTTGGTTCTGTTTAAGTTTTTTTTTTGTTTGTTTTCATATGTTTCATTTGCATTTTCATGTGATTTCTGGATGTATTTGAGTTCTATGTATTTCTTCCTTACCTCACTTTTGCCCCTTAAATCCCTTCTAGATTGTTCCTGCTCTCAATCAGTTCATTACCACAGTCTTTGTTCTACTCCTCCTCTTCAGTTACTGCTTGCTGGTTCTATGTTGTTTCACTATCCTTTTGAAACCGTACCCAGAGCAGTCCGAGCACGGTAGAGTATGAATGGCACGGAAACTGAACTGGACCGTGCCAGACACAACCGAACCGTGCTAAACTAGTTCTAGTTCATCAGTAGGGCTCAGTGCGGTTCAGTTGAGGCTCGGTTCTCAGATAACAGAGAGCGTATGAGCAGACCGCATCATCCTCTTACAGTCAGCCTCTATACTCATGAAATTTCAGACATTCATAAAAATACTAACTTCCCTACCTTGTCACACCATTTGCAGTGATGATTCTGCTTAGCAGTGTGATGAACCTCAACGTCTGTCATTGATTCTTGCATCCATTAACCCTAATTAGACTATCGTTTGAGTATCCACTTCCCAAAAGCTGACTCTTTCAGGTAAATTCACCAAAGGCTGCCTTCTTTGCCAGACTCTCCGCAAACAATGAAATATGACAATTACAACCAAGCCCCTGACTGTTATGAACAACACTATGTTGATTTGCTTGATTTTCTCTAAAGAGCAGTAGTACTGTAGATCGTCACTAGGAGGCGAGGAACCGTTCCAGCTCGATGTGTAAATGGTTCTAAGGAACTAAGCTCGGAACAGTGAACTGATCCAAGCATGGTCCGAAGTCAGCACGGATCGGTTTCAGAGGGTCAGTGTAAATGGGGCTAAAGACACAGCTGAACTTCAAGGGAATCACCAACTTCTATTGTCATTCTTTGTTTTGTTTCTGTCTAAGTCCATAGTCTGTCAGTACTTACAGAACTTTTTGTGAAGCTTTGACGACTGGCAGCAGCCTGAGAAGAGCCTCCTCTGAAGCAGAGCACTTCTTCAGGTAATCCCGCAACTTTTCTCCTGATTCTCGGAGGTTATTGTTCTCCAGGTCAATCTCTCTTAGACAGCAGGATTTGGAGCTAAGAACTGATAACAGAACTTCACAAGTTCTCTCTGAGAGGCTACAGGACCTAAGTCTGAGAGACAAAATGAAACAAGTAAAGAAGAAGAAACAGATGTTATTTGAACATAAAAACATTTTCTCAATCCATGAATAATCAAGATGATCAATGTTTGCTCAGATATAAACAGAAACCCTATATTGGCTCGGTATTTATGTTCCACTCTTCCGACCCCTGTAGGATCCTCATTTGTAGGTTGGAAATATAGCCATCATATTAATATTGGGACCCCAGATACCTGGGGTCTGATGTAGGAAAGGTACATATGTACTAAAAGACTCTGAAGCAATTCATCTTAATTTGGTATTTACTAAAATAAATCTTACCTGAAAGAGAGATACTTTGCGCAAATATTTATATACGGGGAGAAAAAATGATAAGGCCCCAGAATTCATAAAAATAAGTTCTGTTGAGTCCAGCTTTCACCTGACGCTGCATTAGTAGAGTTTAGTGATATCCTGGAGTCTTATGTTTTAGTGTAACTATTTAAAGTTGCAATAAAAAATTTTCCAATCCTCACTAAGCTCATTGCATCTTTATTCACAATAAATATAGTTACAAATCAAGGCTTAAAATCTGTCCTGGACTGATGTTCAGACCTGAGAGTTTCCAGTTTGCAGTTTGGACTCTTCAGTTCAGAAGACAGCAGCTCCACTCCAGAATCCTGCAGCTTGTTGTTACTCAGATCCATCTCTCTCACATTAGAGGACTGGGAGCTGAGAACTGAGGCCAGAACCTTACAGCTTTTCTCTGAGAGGTTACAGTCATTCAGCCTGAAGAGACAGAGAGAGCAATGAAGAACTATGATATAATAAAACATTTAAAAATTTAGATTAAGCAGAACAGATTAAACATTCAATAAAGTAAAAGCTAAGAAACGCTGAAGCAAAGCAACGTGTGTGAAAACCCTGAAACAGATCAAAATGGGATGGGAGCAAATTTCTATATTCTGTAAACTGTTTAACTTTTAAATGATTCTTCAGTCCGCTCAGACTGAGCTGCAATTTGCAACACTGTACCACTGCAAATTAAGAATTGTCACCATTTTGCACTTTTGGTTCTTTTTAAGTTTTTTTTTTGTTTTGTTTTCATATGTTTCATTTGCATTTTCATGTGATTTCTGGATGTATTTGAGTTCTATGTATTTCTACCTTACCTCACTTTTGCCCCTTAAATCCCTTCTAGATTGTTCCTGCTCTCAATCAGTTCATTACCACAGTCTTTGTTCTACTCCTCCTCTTCAGTTACTGCTTGCTGGTTCTATGTTGTTTCACTATCCTTTTGAAACCGTACCCAGAGCAGTCCGAGCACGGTAGAGTATGAATGGCACGGAAACTGAACTGGACCGTGCCAGACACAACCGAACCGTGCTAAACTAGTTCTAGTTCATCAGTAGGGCTCAGTGCGGTTCAGTTGAGGCTCGGTTCTCAGATAACAGAGAGCGTATGAGCAGACCGCATCATCCTCTTACAGTCAGCCTCTATACTCATGAAATTTCAGACATTCATAAAAATACTAACTTCCCTACCTTGTCACACCATTTGCAGTGATGATTCTGCTTAGCAGTGTGATGAACCTCAACGTCTGTCATTGATTCTTGCATCCATTAACCCTAATTAGACTATCGTTTGAGTATCCACTTCCCAAAAGCTGACTCTTTCAGGTAAATTCACCAAAGGCTGCCTTCTTTGCCAGACTCTCCGCAAACAATGAAATATCACAATTATAACCAAGCCCCTGACTGTTATGAACAACACTATGTTGATTTGCTTGATTTTCTCTAAAGAGCAGTAGTACTGTAGATCGTCACTAGGAGGCGAGGAACCGTTCCAGCTCGATGTGTAAATGGTTCTAAGGAACTAAGCTCGGAACAGTGAACTGATCCAAGCATGGTCCGAAGTCAGCACGGATCGGTTTCAGAGGGTCAGTGTAAATGGGGCTAAAGACACAGTTGAACTTCGAGGGAATCACCAACTTCTATTGTCATTCTTTGTTTTGTTTTTTGTCCAAGCCCATAGTCTGTCAGTACTTACAGAACTTTTTTTGAAGCTTTGACCACTGGCAGCAGCATGAGAAGAGCCTCCTCTGAAGCAGAGTATTTCTTCAGATAATCCCGCAACTTTTCTCCTGATTCTCGGAGGTTATTGTTCTCCAGGTCAATCTCTCTCAGACGGCAGGATTTGGAGCTAAGAACTGATAACAGAACTTCAACAGTTCTCTCTGAGAGGCTACAGGACCTAAGTCTGAGAGACACAATGAAACAAGTAAAGAAGAAGAAACAGATGTTATTTGAACATAAAAACGTTTTCTCAATCCATGAATAATCATGATAATCAATGTTTGCTTAGATATAAACAGAAACCCTATATTGGCTCGGTATTTATGTTCCACTCTTCCGACCCCTGTAGGATCCTCATTTTTAGTTTGGGAATATAGCTGTCATATTAATATTGGGACCTGAGGTCTGATGTAAGAAAGGTACATATGTACTAAAAGACTCTGAAGCAATTCATCTTAATTTGGTATATAGTAAAATAAATCTTACCTGAAAAAGAGATACTTTGCACAAATATTTATATACAGGGAGAAAAAATAATAAGGCCCCAGAATTCATAAAAATAAGTTCTGTTGAGTCCAGCTTTCACCTGATGCTGCATTAGTAGAGTTTAGTGATATCCTGGAGTCTTATGTTTTAGTGTAACTATTTAAAGTTGCAATAAAAAAATTTCCAATCCTCACTAAGCTCATTGCATCTTTATTCACAATAAATATAGTTATAAATCAAGGCTTAAAATCTGTCCTGGACTGATGTTCAGACCTGAGAGTTTCCAGTTTGCAGTTTGGACTCTTCAGTTCAGAAGACAGCAGCTCCACTCCAGAATCCTGCAGCTTGTTGTTACTCAGATCCATCTCTCTCACATTAGAGGACTGGGAGCTGAGAACTGAGGCCAGAACCTTACAGCTTTTCTCTGAGAGGTTACAGTCATTCAGCCTGAAGAGACAGAGAGAGCAATGAAGAACTATGATTGAATAAAACAACAAAAAAAATGTATATTAAACAGAACAGATCTAAAAAAAATGATAAAATAAAACCTAAAAAAAACTCGGAAGAAAAGCAAGATATGTCAAAACTCTGAAACTGATCAAAATGCAATGGAGACAAATTTCAATATTCTATGAACTGTTTAAACTTTAAATTATTCTTCAGTCTGGACAGGCTGAGATGCAATGAGAAACACTGTACCACTACAAAACAGAAAAAACTTTAGCAGCCATTTTAAATCTGCTCTGAATATCCATTTGTCTTTTGATGTTGAAAGAAGAGAACCTTGGAGAACATGGGATTCAGTCAGAGTCAAGAAGGTGTTTAAGAAGGTTTATGAAAAGAAAGTATGAACGCAGGCAGAAAGAGTGGTAGGAGACATAGATGAAGGCAGAATGTGCTGGTGACAAGCTGAACTGACTGTAGAGGTGAGATGATGACTGAACAGAAAAAAGGCAGTATTTGAGCAGACCGGAGGCTTCAGTCAACCCAGTCTCATGGGAAAATGTACCCCCACTACGTTGGTCCACAATGCAAAACGTAGTGGAGGTACATTAATGGCCATTTTTTTGTGGTACTGTTACATTTCTTCTGCCTATACGCTTTCTATTGTTTTACGTCCTAGTCACGTGACTTTCAAGATTCCAGCTGGGAGAAGAAAAAAAATATATATATGGCCGACATTCGCCCATTTTTTTTGTGGAAAGATTAATAACTTGAGTTTGCTTTTGCATTAAAATGAGTTTTGATTACATTTCTAGTGAGAAATGTATAGTTTGTTGCCAGAATATTTACTCAGGGAATGTACATATTCACTTGCTTGTTCGTTTCTTGCAAAGATTTTTCAAGATAATGTGGAACTGTAACATTTTGGTATAAACATGGCTGAGATTTCTCTAACTTTTAGTGGGAAAATCAATAATTTCAATCAGTTTCTGCATTTAAATGGGTTTTGATTACATTTATAGCGAGAAGTGTAGGGTTTATTTACATAATATTTACTTAGTGAACATACATAATCACCCACTTGCTAGTTTTTGCTACGGTTTTTCGGATCTCGTCAGGATTATGTGAAATTGCAACGTTTAGGCTGCTACCCATCGCCTAGCATTTAGCTGCCGCCCCGATTCAACATTGAATTCTTTGTGATTTAACTCCATCTGACGGATCAAACCCTCGCCACTGCGTGCGTTGCGTCTGAGGTTGATTTTCAGATCAATGCATTACGTCGTGGCATACGGGAGAAACTAATTAAACTAGTTAAAAAAGGATCATGGGTTAAGATCGGATGTGTTTTATTTGGAAATCTACCGGATCCTTTGTGCATTTAACTTCCTGTTTGGTGCGATCTCATTGATGGGTTTTGACCAGATTTTGACCAAAGAGGAACTAAAAAAAACCCAAAACAATTTAAATACACAACCAGCATATCTGGAATCAATGACAGAGAGCGACTGGGACCAAAAGTTTATTAATTTCTCCCCACTGATTTCCATTCAAAATGTTTTCGATCCCACCGGGCTCTAGGGAAGGGGCGGGCATACCGCCACCTACTGTTCATGAGTGTGTAGCAACATTGTTTTACATCTATTAAATTCTATTTTTTTATTTTGTATTCTGAAGATAAATAAATAATGCTTTCCTTAATCTATAAATATCTTTTATATTTCCTTTATTTCCCAATAATCCTTTAAGACTCCATTCTTGGCCTGTCCTTTCAACTCTTTTAAATTTCTTCGTTTCAGGTTCATATGTTTTGCAGTTAATCAATACATCTACATTTTCTATCTCTCCACATCCTTCACATTTATCATTATTTTCCCTCCCTATTAAGTATAAATTGTCATTTAAATAAGTATGACCTACTCTTAATCTGATCATTATTATTTCTTCTCTTCGGTTTCTCTCATTAATATTTCTATTTAATACTGACTTTTGTACTTTATATAACCTTCTTCCTTTTTTATCTTCATTCCACCTTTTTTGCCATTTTTCAATTTCTTTCCTCTTAATAAATGATTTTCCTTCCCCTTTCCCTAAAGGAATTGTAATTGTTATTGCCTCCTCTAAAGCCCTTTTTGCTAATTTGTCTGCCTTTTCCTTTCCTTTTACCCCTTCATGTGCTGGAACCCAGCAAAACCAAATATCAATGCCACTCCTGTATAATCTAAATAAACTGTGCTGAAGTTCTAATACTAAATCTTTCCTATTATTTCCTTCTCCCTGAATACTTTCTAAAACTGCATTGGAATCCGTGCATACCACCATACTCTGTCTGCTCTGAACTCCTCAACCCATTGGAAACTCAGTATAACTGCCACCATCTCTGCTGTGAAAACAGATAGTTTATCTGAAATTCTTTTAGAAATGTGTATTTTGAACTCTGGTACATATATTCCTATTCCCACACACCCTTTTAAATTCTTTGAAAAGCATAGTAATAATAATAATAATATTTTTTAAAGCAGTTAATGATTCCAACAAGCAAACTCATATTATAATTACCTTAAAATATATTCTGATGGTTCAAAGAATTTAAAAGGGTGTGTGGGAATAGGAATATATGTACCAGAGTTCAAAATACACATCTAAGGCAAAAGCAGTCACTGAAAAACGATGTTTTGTTATGACTGTGACAACACCCTAAATGATTGTAAGTAGGACTTTCCACAACTGAGGAGTAGTAACAGAAAAGGCTCTGCTCTCTCTCAGCCTCCCTTTGGACCTCGGAACCTCTAGACTCTTGACTTGAGGTAAACAGTGAATCAGCAGAATTTACCATACGACACGAAATAGTGACAATTCAAATTCTTTGAAAAGCATAGTAATAATAATAATAATATTTTTTAAAGCAGTTAATGATTCCAACAAGCAAACTCATATTATAATTACCTTAAAATATATTCTGATGGTTCAAAGAATTTAAAAGGGTGTGTGGGAATAGGAATATATGTACCAGAGTTCAAAATACACATTTCTAAAAGAATTTCAGATAAACTATCTGTTTTCACAGCAGAGATGGTGGCAGTTATACTGAGTTTCCAATGGGTTGGGGAGGTCAGAGCAGACAGGGTATGGTGGTATGCACGGATTCCAACGCAGTTTTAGAAAGTATTCAGGGAGAAGGAAATAATAGGAAAGATTTAGTATTAGAAATTCAGCACAGTTTATTTAGATTATACAGGAGTGGCATTGATTTAGCAAAAAGGGCTTTAGAGGAGGCAATAACAATTACAATTCCTTTAGGGAAAGGGGAAGGAAAATCATTTATCAAGAGGAAAGAAATTGAAAAATGGCAAAAAAGGTGGAATGAAGATAAAAAAGGAAGAAGGTTATATAAAGTACAAAAGTCAGTATTAAATAGAAATATTAATGAGAGAAACCGAAGAGAAGAAATAATAATGATCAGATTAAGAGTAGGTCATACTTATTTAAATGACAATTTATACTTAATAGGGAGGAAAAATAATGATAAATGTGAAGGATGTGGAGAGATAGAAAATGTAGATGAATTGATGAACTGCAAAACATATGAACCTGAAAGGAAGAAATTGAAAAGAGTTGAAAGGACAGGCCAAGAATGGAGTCTTAAAGAATTATTGGGAAATAAAGGAAATATAAAAGATATTTATAGATTAAGGAAAGCATTATTTATTTATCTTCAGAATACAAAATTAAAAAATAGAATTTAATAGATGTAAAACAATGTTGCTACACACTCATGAACAGTAGGTGGCGGTATGCCCGCCCCTTCCCTAGAGCCCGGTGGGATAGAAAACATTTTGAATGGAAATCAGTGGGAAGAAATTAATAAACTTTTGGTCCCAGTCGCTCTCTGTCATTGATTCCAGATATGCTGGTTGTGTATTCAAATTGTTTTGTTTTTTTTGTTCCTCTTTGGTCAAAATCTGGTCAAAACCCATCAATGAGATCGCACCAAACAGGAAGTTAATTGCACAAAGGATCCGGTAGATTTCCAAATAAAACACATCCGATCTTAACCCATGATCCTTTTTTTTAACTAGTTTAATTAGTTTCTCCCGTATGCCACGACGTAATGCATTGATCTGAAAATCAACCTCAGACGCAACGCACGCAGTGGCGAGGGTTTGATCCGTCAGATGGAGTTAAATCACAAAGAATTCAATGTTGAATCGGGGCGGCAGCTAAATGCTAGGCGATGGGTAGCAGCCAAAACGTTGCAATTTCACATAATCCTGACGAGGTCCGAAAAACGTAGCAAAAACTAGCAAGCGGGTGATTATGTATGCTCTCTGTCATTGATTCCAGATATGCTGGTTGTGTATTTAAATTGTTTTGGGTTTTTTTTAGTTCCTCTTTGGTCAAAATCTGGTCAAAACCCATCAATGAGATCGCACCAAACAGGAAGTTAAATGCACAAAGGATCCGGTAGATTTCCAAATAAAACACATCCGATCTTAACCCATGATCCTTTTTTTAACTAGTTTAATTAGTTTCTCCCGTATGCCACGACGTAATGCATTGATCTGAAAATCAACCTCAGATGCAACGCACGCAGTGGCGAGGGTTTGATCCGTCAGATGGAGTTAAATCACAAAGAATTCAATGTTGAATCGGGGCGGCAGCTAAATGCTAGGCGATGGGTAGCAGCCAAAACGTTGCAATTTCACATAATCCTGACGAGATCCGAAAAACGTAGCAAAAACTAGCAAGCGGGTGATTATGTATGTTCACTAAGTAAATATTATGTAAATAAACCCTACACTTCTCGCTATAAATGTAATCAAAACCCATTTAAATGCAGAAACTGATTGAAATTATTGATTTTCCCACTAAAAGTTAGAGAAATCTCAGCCATGTTTATACCAAAATGTTACAGTTTCACATTATCTTGAAAAATCTTTGCAAGTAACGAACAAGCAAGTGAATATGTACATTCCCTGAGTAAATATTCTGGCAACAAACTATACATTTCTCACTAGAAATGTAATCAAAACTCATTTTAATGCAAAAACAAACTCAAGTTATTAATCTTTCCACAAAAAAAATGAGCGAATGTCGGCCATCTATATATATTTTTTTCTTCTCCCAGCTGGAATCTTGAAAGTCACGTGACTAGGACGTAAAACAACAGAAATCGTATAGGCAGAAGAAATGTAACAGTACCACAAAAAAATGGCCATTAATGTACCTCCACTACGTTTTGCAGTGTGGACCAACATAGTGGGGGTACATTTTCCTATGAGACTGGGTTGCTTAAGTTGTGCTGATGATTTTAAGTTATGATTGATGTTCGTAGCAGACCGAATGAGTCCATGCTACATATATGATCTAAAATAGCGGACCATCATCATCACAGAGACAGACTATGTATTGTCACCCCTCGATTCTTTCTTTTCATAACTAAAAAAATTTACTTCATGAACTGTTCTCTCTTCACAAAGATATGAAAATAAATAAAGTCCTGACTTTCACCTATCTCCATTTTTTAACTGGGGTGAACAGTTGAATACTTTTTTCCCACTACAATGAGCATAAATGTGGGGCAACACCTTCGAGTTATTTCAAATTTTCACATACTCAGAAATTGTGGGCGAGAAGGTGAGTAGGAACAATCTTTAAGTCTGACTTACTGATTACAACTCTTTTGAATATTTAACCCTTAGTTTCCCCCATCCAAATAGCAAAGCAAGAAAACCTGTTTTTTTTTGTAACTTTGTATCGTCCACCAGGTTCTTACTCTGAATTTTTAGATCATTTTTTAGAGTTCCTATCAGATTTGGTTTTTAATACTGACAGGGTCATTATAGTGGTAGATTTTAACATCCATGCTGACATTGAAGGCGATAGCTTAAGAGCAGCCTTTAATGCTATCTTAGACACTATTGGCTTCGTTTGAAATGTGAATAGTCCCACACATTCTCATCTTCATGCTTTGAACCTTGTGCTGACATAAGGTATTGAATGTGAAGAAATAACAGTATTTGTTCACCACTCTGTCCTCTCTGACCACTGTTTAATAATCTTCAGGATTACTTTAACAGAGTTCTCCCCCAAAAGAAGGTTTCACTTTAGCAGATCATTATCAGATAGTGCAGTTATAAATTTTAAAGAATCTGTTTCACTTTCCTCTGTGTCGCTGAGCACTGCTAGCCTGGGTGCCAGTCCGAACTTAGTCCCGCCCACAAGGTTTGAGTTCGGGGAAGTTCGGTCTGGCTCTGCTCCATAATAGCGCGAGTATTAAAGCCCACTGTCAGGCGATCCAATCAAATTGTCAGGGCGGGCTTTATACGATGATGGACAGATGATCAAGAGTAACGTTATCAACCACGTGACCAAAGCGCGCTTGGGTGACAACAATAATGGCTGCCGCTGGAGAGTTTAGGTGAGTAGATTCTGCTATTAGGTCTGTTCTAGAAGATATCGACAGCAAATTAATTTTAAAAGAGGAACAGAGAAACGCGATCAAGTCTCATCTTCTTATTCTAGGCGTGCAACTGCACGCTTTGATTTTTGTGGACAACAACTATGCCTCGCTTAAGATACGTCACGCACTCCGTTGCTCTTATTGGTTGTAGGTCTATCCAATTGAGTGCAGAGGCATTGTTTTCCTGGTTCGTTCAAAACACGCCCCATAATCACAGCTCTATAGAGCAGCATCAGACTCATATTCTGACTAGAATTGAGTCGGACTACGTCAGGCTAGAGCAGTGCTGCAGAGAACGAAAGTTTAGTATTTTCCCCTTCACAGGTTGATGATTTTGATGAATCAGGAAAATAATCAAATATAATTAAAACATCTGAATCATCAATATAAAAAAGACCATGTACACCTGATAATCATGGGCAGATGATCAATGTGTAATAAAAAATGTTTTTCTAGAGCAACTTTTTAACTGGATTAGTTTGCATATACATGAAGAATTGACAAAATATAAGGAAAGGGACAAAACAAAACATTTGAAAAGACAACAAGATAACAGGTTCTAAAAGCCAACTTGCCCAAGCTGTTTAGTCAATGACACAGTTACACCTCAAGGGAATCATTATCTTTTATTGTCACTCTTTGTTTTATTACTGTCTCAGCCCATAGTCTGTCAGTACTTACAGAACTTTTTTTGAAGCTTTGACCACTGGCAGCAGCCTGAGAAGAGCCTCCTCTGAAGCAGAGCACTTCTTCAGATAATCCCGCAACTTTTCTCCTGATTCTTGGAGGTTATTGTTCTCCAGGTCAATCTCTCTTAGACAGCAGGATTTGGAGCTAAGAACTGATAACAGAACTTCACAAGTTCTCTCTGAGAGGCTACAGGACCTAAGTCTGAGAGACACAATGAAACAAGTAAAGAAGAAGAAACAGATGTTATTTGAACATAAAAACATTTTCTCAATCCATGAATAATCAAGATGGTTTGCTTAGATATAAACAGAAACCCTATATTGGCTCGGTATTTAAGTTCCACTCTTCCGACCCCTGTAGGATCCTCATTTTTAGGTTGGGAATATAGCTGTCATATTAATATTGGGACCCCAGAAACCTGAGGTCTGCTGTAAGAAAGGTACATACAGTGGGGCAAAAAAGTATTCAGTCAGCCACCAATAGTGCAAGTTCTCTCACTTAAAAAGATGTGAGAGGCCGGTAATTTTCATCATAGATAAACCTCAACTATAAGAGACAAAATGAGAAAAAAAAATCCAGAAAATCACATTGTCTGATTTTTAAAGAATTTATTTGCAAAATATGGTGGAAAATAAGTATTTGGTAAATAACAAAAGTTCATCTCAATACTTTGTTATATACCCTTTGTTGGCAATGACAGAGATCAAATGTTTTCTGTAATACTTCACAAGGTTTTCACACACTGTTGCTGGTATTTTGGCCCATTCCTCCATGCAGATCTCCTCTAGAGCAGTGATGTTCTGGGGCTGTCGCTGGGCAACACGGACTTTCAACTCCCTCCAAAGATTTTCTATGGGGTTGAGATCTGGAGACTGGCTAGGCCACTCCAGGACCTTGAAATGCTTCTTACAAAGCCACTCCTTCGTTACCCGGGCGGTGTGTTTGGGATCATTGTCATGCTGAAAGACCCAGCCACGTTTCATCTTCGATGCCCTTGCTGATGGAAGGAGGTTTTCACTCAAAATTTGACGATACATGGCCCCATTCATTCTTTCCTTCACACGGATCAGTCGTCCTGGTCCCTTAGCAGAAAAACAGCCCCAAAGCATGATGTTTCCACCCCATGCTTCATTGTAGGTATGGTGTTCTTTGGATGCAACTCAGCATTCTCTCTCCTCCAAACATGACGAGTAGAGTTTTTACCAAAAAGTTCTATTTTGGTTTCATCTGACCATATGATATTCTCCCAGTCATCGTCTGGATCATCCAAATGCTGTCTAGCAAACTTGAGACGGGCCTTGACATGTACTGGCTTAAGCAGGGGGACACGTCTGGCACTGCAGGATTTGAGTCCCTGGCGGCCTAGTGTGTTACTGATGGTAGCCTTTGTTACTTTGGTCCCAGCTCTCTGCAGGTCATTCACTAGGTCCCCCCGTGTGGTTCTGGGATTTTTACTCACCGTTCTTGTGATCATTTTGACCCGACGGGGTGAGATCTTGCGTGGAGCCCCAGATCGAGGAAGATTATCAGTGGTCTTGTATGTTTTCCATTTTCTAATAATTGATCCCACAGTTGATTTCTTCACACCAAGCTGTTTACCTATTGCAGATTCAGACTTCCCAGCCTGGTGCAGGTCTATAATTTTGTTTCAGGTGTCCTTTGACAGTTCTCTAGCTTTGGCCATGGTGGAGTTTAGAGTGTGACTGTTTGAGGTTGTGGACAGGTGTCTTTTATACTGATAACGGGTTCAAACAGGTGCCATTAATGAAGGTAACGAGTGGAGGACAGAGGAGCCTCTTACAGAAGAAGTTACAGGTCTGTGGGAGCCAGAACTCTTGCTTGTTTGTAACTGACCAAATACTTATTTTCCACCATATTTTGCAAATAAATTCTTTAAAAATCAGACAATGTGATTTTCTGGATTTTTTTTTTTCTCATTTTGTCTCTCATAGTTGAGGTATATCATAATGAAAATTACCGGCCTCTCATCTTTTTGAGTGGGAGAACTTGCACTATTGGTGGCTGACTAAATACTTTTTTGCCCCACTGTATGTACTAAAAGCCTCTGAAGCAATTCATCTTAATTTGGTATTTACTAAAAAAAATCTTACCTGAAAAAGAGATACTTTGCACAAATATTTATATACAGGGAGAAAAAGCAATAAGGCCCCAGAATTCATAAAAATAAGTTCTGTTGAGTCCAGCTTTCACCTGACGCTGCATTAGTAGAGTTTAGTGATATCCTGGAGTCTTATGTTTTAGTGTAACTATTTAAAGTTGCAATAAAAAAAATTTCCAATCCTCACTAAGCTCATTGCATCTTTATTCACAATAAATATAGTTATAAATCAAGGCTTAAAATCTGTCCTGGACTGATGTTCAGACCTGAGAGTTTCCAGTTTGCAGTTTGGACTCTTCAGTCCATAAGACAGCAGCTCCACTCCAGAATCCTGCAGCTTGTTGTTACTCAGATCCATCTCTCTCACATTAGAGGACTGGGAGCTGAGAACTGAGGCCAGAACCTTACAGCTTTTCTCTGAGAGGTTACAGTCATTCAGTCTAAAGAGACAGAGAGAGCAATGAAGAACTATGATTGAATAAAACAAAAAAAAAATTTATATTAAACAGAACAGACCTAAAAAAAAATGATAAAATAAAACCTAAAAAAAAAAGCAAGATATGTCAAAACTCTGAAACTGATCAAAATGCAATGGAGACAAATTTCAATATTCTATGAACTGTTTAAACTTTAAATTATTCTTCAGTCTGGACAGGCTGAGATGCAATGAGAAACACTGTACCACTACAAAACAGAAAAAACTTTAGCAGCCATTTTAAATCTGCTCTGAATATCCATTTGTCTTTTGATGTTGAAAGAAGAGAACCTTGGAGAACATGGGATTCAGTCAGAGTCAAGAAGGTGTTTAAGAAGGTTTATGAAAAGAAAGTATGAACGCAGGCAGAAAGAGTGGTAGGAGACATAGATGAAGGCAGAATGTGCTGGTGACAAGCTGAACTGACTGTAGAGGTGAGATGATGACTGAACAGAAAAAAGGCAGTATTTGAGCAGACCGGAGGCTTCAGTTGAGCTGATGATTTTAAGTTATGATTGATGTTCGTAGCAGACCGAATGAGTCCATGCTACATATATGATCTAAAATAGCGGACCATCATCATCACAGAGACAGACTATGTATTGTCACCCCTCGATTCTTTCTTTTCATAACTAAAAAAATTTACTTCATGAACTGTTCTCTCTTCACAAAGATATGAAAATAAATAAAGTCCTGACTTTCACCTATCTCCATTTTTTAACTGGGGTGAACAGTTGAATACTTTTTTCCCACTACAATGAGCATAAATGTGGGGCAACACCTTCGAGTTATTTTAAATTTTCACATACTCAGAAATTGTGGGCGAGAAGGAGGAGTAGGAACAATCTTTAAGTCTGACTTACTGATTACAACTCTTTTGAATATTTAACCCTTAGTTTCCCCCATCCAAATAGCAAAGCAAGAAAACCTGTTTTTTTTGTAACTTTGTATCGTCCACCAGGTTCTTACTCTGAATTTTTAGATCATTTTTTAGAGTTCCTATCAGATTTGGTTTTTAATACTGACAGGGTCATTATAGTGGTAGATTTTAACATCCATGCTGACATTGAAGGCGATAGCTTAAGAGCAGCCTTTAATGCTATCTTAGACACTATTGGCTTCATTTGAAATGTGAATAGTCCCACACATTCTCATCTTCATGCTTTGAACCTTGTGCTGACATAAGGTATTGAATGTGAAGAAATAACAGTATTTGTTCACCACTCTGTCCTCTCTGACCACTGTTTAATAAACTTCAGGATTACTTTAACAGAGTTCTCCCCCAAAAGAAGGTTTCACTTTAGCAGATCATTATCAGATAGTGCAGTTATAAATTTTAAAGAATCTGTTTCACTTTCCTCTGTGTCGCTGAGCAGTGCTGCAGAGAACGAAAGTTTAGTATTTTCCCCTTCACAGGTTGATGATTTTGATGAATCAGGAAAATAATCAAAAATAATTAAAACATCTGAATCATCAATATAAAAAAGACCATGTACACCTGATAATCATGGGCAGATGATCAATGTGTAATAAAAAATGTTTTTCTAGAGCAACTTTTTAACTGGATTAGTTTGCATATACATGAAGAATTGACAAAATATAAGGAAAGGGACAAAACAAAACATTTGAAAAGACAACAAGATAACAGGTTCTAAAAGCCAACTTGCCCAAGCTGTTTAGTCAATGACACAGTTACACCTCAAGGGAATCATTATCTTTTATTGTCACTCTTTGTTTTATTACTGTCTCAGCCCATAGTCTGTCAGTACTTACAGAACTTTTTTTGAAGCTTTGACCACTGGCAGCAGCCTGAGAAGAGCCTCCTCTGAAGCAGAGCACTTCTTCAGATAATCCCGCAACTTTTCTCCTGATTCTTGGAGGTTATTGTTCTCCAGGTCAATCTCTCTTAGACAGCAGGATTTGGAGCTGATAACTGATAACAGAACTTCACAAGTTCTCTCTGAGAGGCTACAGGACCTAAGTCTGAGAGACACAATGAAACAAGTAAAGACGAAGAAACAGATGTTTTTTTTTAAACATGAAAACTTAGTCTCAATCTATGAATAATCAGGTTGATCAATGTTTGCTCAGATACAAATAGAAACCATATATTACTCAGTATTTTTAATCCCAGTCTTCTGACCCCTGTGGAACCCTTATGTACGTTAGTAAGCTTTCATATTGATACTGGGGTAACATGAACCTGGAGCCTCATCTAAGAAAGGTAAATATTCAATGAAAGCTATTAAAGCAATGAATCATATTTTGACATGTACTAAAATAAATGTTGCCTGAAAGAGTGTTTTCTATATGTGGGGAAAAAAATTATAAAGCAACAGAAATTATAAATAAACAAAAAATGACATGTGTTGATCTATGTCACTGACATTTAGTTGTATTCAAATCAAGGAGCATCATTTTTTTTTCAATGAATTGAATCACAGTTAGCTCTGAGCAAAAAGGAAAAAACATAAAAAAGGTAAAAAAAAAAAATTCAAAAATGAACAGTCAATATACCTGTTTTTCCTCTGTAAACGTGGGCTGATAAGCTAATTCCATGTTTTTTCTTGAAGAGTCTCTTTATTTCAAACCTAAAAACTTTTGATGGATAACTAGAGTGATTCTTCATAAGTAAGGTGTGAAAAAATATAATGTTGACAAGCAATGGAAAATCATACATGTCCCAAATGTGTAAAGGTTGCGTAATAGTGGAAGGAGAGCAACCCTTGACTGTGCTTATTTAATATTAACTGGTCGGATCCTACAGGTAGTCATTTGGATCTCAGTATATTTTTCAGTACCAGCAATGTTTACATTCAGCCTGGCATTGTTTTGCATAAACAATTCAGCTAAATGCACAGTTATGTCATGTATTTTAGTTAAAGAAAAATATGATTGAACAAACATTTAATTCTGGTTCAGTCCACCTTTACCTTCACCTGAAGTTGCATTAGAAGAGTTCAGTGATAACCATGAGCCTTATGTTTTAGTGTAACTTTTTAAAGTTGCAGCACAAAATGTCCCATTGCTCACTAAGCTCATTACATAAACATTCAAATTACATTTCATTGTAAAACAAGGCTTAAAATCTGTCCTGGACTGATGTTCAGACCTGAGAATTTCCAGTTTGCAGTTTGGACTGTTCAGTCCAGAAAACAGCAGCTCCACTCCAGAATCCTGCAGCTTGTTGTTACTCAGATCCATCTCTCTCAGATTAGAGGACTGGGAGCTGAGAACTGAGGCCAGAACCTCATAGCTTCTCTCTGAGAGGTTACAGTCATTCAGTCTGAAGAGACAAATATGATTGAATGAAGGATAGTAATGTATATCACAAAGAAAAGACGAAACAATTTGATAAAATAAAAACTAAGAAGCTGAAGCAAAGCAATGCATGTCTAAACCCAGGAACAGATAAAAATGTGATAGAGACAAAATTTTATCGAATGTGACCAGTTTAAACTTTAAATTACTCTTCGTCTGTACAAACTGAGCTGCAATATCGGACAGTAGAGCAACAATCTATTGTAGTCCCTCCTTTGATCTTGCTAACATTTGGCATTTACTGATGAAAGATTAGAGGCTGATCCTGCAATATTGACAATAATAAAAAAAAAACTATTCATATCAGTCTTAAGGTAGTTGTCATTCTACAAGCTGCCCTGCAACTTGTCTAATAATAAAGTTTGATGTTGCTGAATCAGATAACTGCTGTATTGTTTAGAATGTGTGGGTTCAGCTCCTTAATGGAGGAGATGATGAAAGTAAACATTACTCTGCCTAATGTCTTTGAAGAATACATACAGACTATATCTGTAGTATTTGGATAAAGAAAATTTTAAAATATTACATTTTATAATACTTTATAACAATTTTACTTATATAGTTTTTCTAAAATGAGATGAAAGATGAAGAAATAGAGTTTTAGACTGATGAAAAAACACTTTGCTGAATTAGAAAATGGAGGTTTAGAAATTTAAAAAAAATTTTGATCTGAATTACTGCTGATTCTAAGGAACAAAGACTATTTTTAAACTTATTGAAACAGAAATTAATAAAGTTGATATTCTGGAATCAAAGTACAATGGTAAGATTGGCTGAAAATGATAAACTTGGTTTTGGCGACGTTGGAACAGATTGTAGGCTCCACAAAAAGACAATCTGGAACACCAAAACATCTCTAACATTTCTAATACTGTTTCAAAATTAATACATGTGTACATTAATTTTTTTTTCTTGTATCACATTCTAGATCTGAATGACTGAACAATTCTCATTGAATACTTTTTTCGTACAAAATTGAATTTGCTGAAAGCAAAATCATACAAATATCATTAATGGAAATTAAACATATTAACCAATGGAGGCCTGGATTTGGAGTTTTACACAAAATTAAAGTGGAAAAACACTATAGGCTGATCCAACTTTCATGTAATGTCCTTAAAACAGGTCAAAATACAGCTCAGCATTATGTGTGTTTTCCATGTGCCTTTATGACCTCCCTACAATCTTCTCCAAGAGTTTGGCTGAAGCATGTGCCAACTGCTGGACAATCTGTGGAGCAGGTTAACGCGGGTATTTAATGCACATTGATCAGCTAACAATCACTACTTTGCTCCCTTCCCATTGGCAAAAACATCTGGGTCTGACCCTTCAAGTTAAAGGAATAGTACACCCAAAACATGATTAGCCTTCATTTTCTACTCACCCCCATGCTGAACAACACTCTGGAGTACTTTTTTGATATCTCAAATGCATCTGGAGATCTGGGAGGCTTCTTGCTGTCTGCTGACATTCAAATAATGGAGGTCTATGGCGCCCGAGACAGAAAGGTCCATAAAAGTCCACAAAAAACGTGTCAATATTCCTCCATACTGCTCGTCCAATGTATTCCAAGTGTCCTGAGTGGGTAGCATCCAGAATTTACTCGAAACGAAGTCATTTAGAATGTTTTTAGAGCATAAACAGTAGTGTATAGGATTTCCTGACAGCGCGCGCCGGCGAGTTCATGACGCTACGGAAACCGCGGCAGACCAAACCAGCTGAAAGTGCGCATTCAGCTCGGCAAAGAACTCATGCTCTTCCTCAACACTGAAGTCCTCAGACATTTTTCTTTCGTTGTTTCTTTCTTTGCACAGGTAAACAGCACATTTCTTCTTCTACGCTTGCATTATCGGCAGAGCAGACGCTGAATGCGCACTTTCATCTGGTTTGGTCTGCCGGCTTCCGTAGCGTCATGAACGAGCCGGCGCGCGCTTTTAGGAAATCCTATACACTACTGTTTATGCTCTAAAAAACATTCTAAATGACTTCGTTTAGAGTAAATTCTGGATGCTACCCACTCAGGACACTTGGAATACATGGGACGAGCAGTATGGAGAAATATTTACACGTTTTTTGTGGACTTTTATGGACCTTTCTGCCTCGGGCGCCATAGACCTCCATTATTTGAATGTCAGCAGACAGCAAGAAGCCTCCCAGATCTCCAGATGCATTTGAGATATCAAAAAAGTACTCCAGAGTGTTGTTCAGCATGGGGGTGAGTAGAAAATGAAGGCTAATCATGTTTTGGGTGTACTATTCCTTTAAGTAGCCTAGCCTCTGTTTCCCCATCAATACATGTCCGGTGCACCATCAGGCTGGTTTAGCACTGATGTCAAGAGTGCGACAGATACCAGGAAAGTAAACAACATATGGGGGGGGGGGGGGGCCAGGGCTTAGTAAGTGCTTTATTATGTCGATCACCATTGCTTGGCTCCTCTGGTTCTTCTCCTAAAAGTGTCCTTTTTAGCTTCAGGATGTGCAGGTAGCTCAAAAACCTTGTTTCCCACAGGTCGTATTTATCCTCGGACCAATCGAATAGCAACTGTGGTGCTGGAACTTGAGTGGCTCGGCTAGCCATCTTCACCACAAGCCCACCAAAAACCCTCATCAGTTCAATGACTAGTAGCCTGTTGCTCTGACTCCCATCATGATGAAGTGCTTTGAAAGGCTGGTTGAAGAACACATCGTCTCCAGTCTCCCCCCAGCATTTAACCTGTTGCAGTTTGTTTACCGACTGATCCACTCCACTGAATTTCACCTGAGCCTGGCACACCTGGAGGAGAAGAACACCCACGTGCGGATGCTGTTCCTGGACTTCAGTTCAGCTTTCAACCCCATCATCCCACATCATCTGATGGGCAAACTGGAACAGCTGGGCTTCAATATACCCTTCTGCTATTGGCTGCTAGACTTCCTCACCAACAGACCTCAGTCAGTCCGGGTCTGATAGAACACCTCTTATGTCATCAGTCTAAGTAAAGGCTCCCCTCAGGGCTGCGTCCTGAGCCCCCTGCTGTTCACCCTGATGACACACGACTGCGTCTCCAGGTTCACCACCAATTACATTGGGAAGTTAGCAGACGACACCATGGTGGTGGGCCTCATAGAAAGACGAAAACGACCTGGACTACAGAGAGGAGGTGGAGCAGCTGGTGGTGCAGAGATAACAGCCTGATACTGAACATGGAGAAGACCAAGGAGATCATGGTGGACTTCAGGAAGAACCGGCCTAACCACGCTCCACTGCCCATCAACAGCTCAGCTGTAGAGGTGGTCAACAGCACCAAATTCCTCGGGGTGAACATCACAGACACCCTCACCTGGATGGAAACACCACCTCACTGGTCAAAGGGGCCCAGAAGCGCTTGGACTTCCTGCGGAGGATGAGGAGAGCCCACCTGCCCCCACCCATCCTCCCCACCTTCTCCAGAAGCACCATAGAGAGCGTTCTGAGCAGCTGTCTCACTGTGTGGTATGAAGGCTGCAGCGCCTCAGACTGGAAGAAGGTGAGAACAGCACAGAGGATCATGGGGGCTCCTCTTCCCTCCATTAAAGACATTTCATCCCAGCGCTGCGTGTCCCGAGCCCGTGACATCATCAATGACCCCTCACCCCCCCCACCATGGACTGTTCTCCCTGCTGCCCTCTTGGAAGAGGCTTCACAGCATTCAATGCAGGTCCAGCAGGTTCTGCAACAGCTTTCCCCCCACTGCCATTAGACTGCTGAACTCTAATCAAGTCATAGACTCTGCATCACACTGATAACACCAAACTACTGTATATTTGCACATTATATTTGTCTTGAAATGCTTTGAAGATGCATATCGTTGTGTTGTGCCCAATCTTTTTCCTCCCACACTGTTAACATCTGATCACTGCGGCACGTTATGAAATGGAAATATTCATTTCAATACTAAGCTGCTGTTCATTTACTGTCTGAGAGCTGTACAAAAATAAATACAGCTTTGTATACACTATGTAAATACAAAATGAAAATAAAAGTTGTCTAAGTCTAAATCTCTAAGTCTAAGTCATTCATGTATAAGAAGTTCATTAAACTTCATTCAGTTCTGGTTAAGTCTACATTTCTCTCCACCTGAAGCTTCATTAGCAGAGTTTGTTGATAACTGGTAGTGTTCCACTTTTATATAACTTTTTGAAGTTGCAGTGAAAAAAGTTTCTTCATCACATAAACAGTCAACATTAATATAGTTATAAAAACAAAAAGGCTGATGTTCAGACCTGAGAGTTTCCAGTTTGCAATTTGGACTCTTCAGACCATAGGAGAGCAGCTTCAATCCAGAATCCTGCAGCTTGTTGTTACTCAGTTCCATCTCTTTCAGATTAGAGGACTGGGAGCTGAGAAGTGAGGCCAGAACTTCACAGCTTCTCTCTGAGAGGTTACAGTCATTCAGTCTGAAGAGACAGAGATGAAAATGAAGAACTAAGATGGAATAAAGCAAAACAATGCGTAACAAAGAAAGAAGATGAAGCAGTTTGATAAAATAAAAATTAAAAAAGCTGAAGCAAAGCAGTGCGTGTCAAAACCTTGGAACAGATCACAATGTGATAGAGACATTTTTATCTCATGTGTCCTGTTTAAACTTTAAATTACTCATAGTCTGTACAAACTGAGCTGCAACATGGAACTACTTACCCCTGTAAACTGTGAATACACAGTAGAGCAACAATCTACTGTATTCGCTTCTGTGGTCTTCGTTGATAAAAGATAAGAGGCTGATCTCACAATATTTACAATAATAGATAAACTATCAATATTGTTATTATGTAGCTGTCAATTATCAGGCCGCCCTCCATCTTGTTTAATACTAAATGTCTGGTGTATCTGAATCAGAAAACATTTGCATTTTATAGAAAGTGTGGCTTGTGGGTTCTACAGGTAGTCATTTGGATCCCAGCAGTTTTTTTCTTCAGTATCAGCAATGTTTACATTCATCTTGACATTGGTTTGTGGGAAAATTTCTGTGAAATGCACAGCTATGTAACATATATAAAAAAAATTAAATCAGCAACTAGCATTGAGTTGTGGTTCAGACCACCTTTCCCTTCACCTGATGTAGCTGCAATCAGAGGCAACTCATTTAAATATTTTAATATTTAGTTAAAAACAAGAGTAAATACATACTAGTATTGAAATTAAACGTTCAATTATAAATAAATAACTTTCAGTAAATTTATGTTGTTTATGTACATTGGTAATAGGCACAATAAAATGTAAGGAGGAACCTATGTTTCTTTGTTCCACATTTCACATTGTTGCCCATGGGAGTGATTGATTGACACAATTTTTGCATCACTGGGACTGTTTTCCAAGAAGTTTCACCAGAAAGCTTTAAGATTATTTTTGTGAGAAAAGCTGTATAAATTATCTTTATTCCTCGGAAGTTGAAGCGGCCAATGAGGTACAAATTTGTTTTACTTGTATTTACTTGTGTAAACCTTTATATTTGTTTTGAGCTAATTTGGGTTTCTGTTTCCCTTCCTAGTTCTGACAGCATTTTTTACCAATTTATAAGACTTGTCCACAATAAATGGCTGTTAAAACCATAAGAACGACATTGAGCCTTGATTATCTCGAGAGGAGTAACACCTGAAGCTGCATTAGAAGAGTATGTGTTAGGTTTATTCAATGATGATTATTAAAGTAATGTGTGTTCATATGAAACATTGTAGAAATGAGATGCTCCACTCCTGTCTGATGATTCAGTCAGGAGACCATCTGTCAGAGTCTTGGTCTGTTTGTTCCTGTTTTTCTTGGTTTTCCATTTGTTGTCCTCTGCTGCCCTCTTGTGTCCTCCTTTGCTCTGTTTTTCTGTTCTGCCTTCACCTGTTTTCAATTCCCTCGTTAGCTCTCTCTTTGTCTCTGTCCCCTTTAAAAGCCCTCCCTCTTCAGTTCCTGTTTGCTGGATCCTCGTCTAACTTCTGTCTGTGTAACTCGTCTCTCCCTGGCTCTTAGTTTGGGTTTACCCCTGATGTCTCCTTGGTTCAGGTGCGTTGTTGTTTTCTGTTGGACTTGATTCCTGCCCCTGGATCTGTGAACTTTAAATAAACCGACTTTAATTCCCCCTTTGCCAACTGGTCTCTGCATTTGGGTCCTCCAAACAAACACCGTCTCATGACACCATCCTGCCTTATCATTCTATTGGAGCATCCTGTCTTTATGAACTGATCAATTGTTCTGTCAGAACAATACTCTGTTTGTAACCATGTGTCATGTTCTGTTAATAAAACGCTCTGCGGAGGAGGTCCGGTTGGAGACAGTGTGTTTGAATCTGGGGTTTCAAATGTCTCTCCTTCTGTAGAAGTTGTATGAAAATCCATTACTGTGTATTTCAGTTCTTCTTCTTTTACAAAACCTACATTTTTAAACCCAACATTTTTGGTGCCGAAAGCCAGGAGTCGAGATCCAATTGTCCAGGACCGTGTGGGACCAAGGCCAAGAATCTGTCGACAGCCGTCCTCCCTTCGCTGGACGGGGCCAGTTAGGTTCAGCCCTGCCCTGGGCATCTTGGTGACTACTCCAGAGGAACTGATCTACATGACAAAGTGTATGCCTAAAGCTCTTAATCAAAAGTTGGTCTGGGACCATTTAAGTTACAGCTGTAACCGCAAGAATATTTGACGAGACCAAGTCTTGTTGACTGATAAGGCATCTGGGTATTCTGTGCATTAGAGTTTGGGACTCTGTGTTGTTCTCGAGATAGTAAGGTTTGCAGCTGCCACAGCAGAGATATTTGACGAAACCAAGTTTCATTGACAGATCTGGGACTGGGTATCCGGTGCGTGCGAGGGCCTGGAGTTTGGGACTCCAAAGTGTACACATAGCAATAGGAGCTTTGCGTCTATATTGGTTAAAAAAAATTAAATAGGCCTTAAAACAGGAGTAAATGTGTGAGAGTGTGTGAGGAAACAATCGAACCGTTAGGTTCTGTTGTTTAATACCAAAAACAGCAGGGGTTTAATACAGTACAGCTCTTGTGGGTGCAGAGGCAAGAATTTCTCACCTGAAAAGGTAGAAGCAGAAATTACCACAACAGTTTTTGGGTACTGTCCTGCTGAATAAACATCCAGTGCGTAGAATACCCTAATTGTTTGTACTGGACTAAATTCTTTAAAATGGGTAAAGGTTAAAATAAATTTAGAGATAATTTAAAATTTACGATTAGAAGTTTATAGAAGCACAGGATCAAACAAAAAATAAATACTTGAATATACGGTTTTAAAAAAATATGGGTTTGAGGGACGCCTCTATTCCAAAATAATAAAATAATAAGAACTAAATGATAAAATAACTAAAGAGAGCCAGGGAGATAAAATAATTAAAAAGGATGGGTTCAGGAAAGAGTATAGAGAAGATCATAAGGGGTATGGAAAGTTTGTGTCAGATTGATCCAAGTAATTTAAAATACTTGTAGAAGTGGAAGTAAAAGTATGAAATAGATGGTGTGTGGAAGTAGATCAACGGAGAAATGTTGTATGCCGGATAGAAACAAGCACTAGTGCAATAATAGATTAATACAAATATTTATAAATAAATACATAGATAAATAAATAAATATATATAAATAAATAAATACATGAGCTCCAAATGGTGAGGTATTGGTATAATACATGCGCAAAATCGATATGTTATTATTAAAAATTGATTAATAGATCTAATGTTGTGTTTGTCCATCTTTTAATGTTATGTGTTTCTGTCTTTAAAGTTATGTTTGTGGGTTTTTTAAGTTGTTTGTGAATCCAAAAAATAATGAAACACAGTTTAGAGGGAGACAGCTTGAATCTGCGGCAGCGGGGGGGGTGGATGTCGGTGGATCGATGACTGCAGCATTGATCCAACTGACAGCCTTCCTAATGCGGCTGGAGGGTCTCCAAAATTATTAGGTTCGGAACCAAAAAATAAAAAATAAATAACCCGTCAGAAAATTATTTTAGTCATGCAAGCTACATACAGGGAATTTAAAAAATTTAGAGGGGTTAAATAAGTGGATTGTGCAAGCTAAAACATAGAAAAAGCTATGAAGTGTAGTTTGGAACATAATTGGGCTCAAGTGAGGGGCTGGTGGTTACAGGGGGAAAACAATTGGTCACTGATGAAGAGGGATTCACGGTGGAAGCTGATTTTGTGTTATGCCCAGACTGTCCAGTTAATTTATTAGGCAGAGATTTGTTAAGGAGATTGCAATTAGTGCTAGAGCCTACAGACAAAGGGATGGGAGTGAAAAGGAATCAAGGATGCAGGGGCAGTACTAGGAGCTGAGGGGGCTTTCAGCCCAGACCAGTAAAAGCAGACTAGGAAGGAAGAGTCCACAGGGCAGTTCTTCATCTGAGGTGTGACTAAGTACTAGAGCAAATAAGAATAGCCATTAAAATAGTAGATGTGTATGGAGCATGGGGGATATTAAATGCATTAAAAGCAAAAACATGAATAGTTCTAGCGAAAATTTTTGGACAGGCAGTTAGACTTATATGCGATTCAGGAGCCTGTAATACTTGTGTTAAAGATAATGTAAATGCTAAAACCATCTAAAAGGCTAATTTTGTAAAATCAGCAAATGGTCAAACATCCTAGGAATGTATGTCAAGGACAATAGAAATAGAAGACCTTCAAACAGGAAAAAGGTTGCAAGGTTGCATGTTTTTGTAGTAATATCACCAACTCATCCCATTAATCTGTTAAAGTGAGACTTGATGGAAAATTAGGCATTGCAATTTTCCCCACGCTAGTGGGGAATGAAGGCTGTATGAATAATACATGTAATAGTGTTGCAACTAAATCCTTCTGTGTTTTATGCAACCTGTTTAGCATTTCTGCTCCATGTCTATTTTTTTCAACTATGGAAACAGCCTTATAAAATTCTGTTCGATGTAAAACCCCATGTTTAAAATTTAGCATGTGTTAAAATAACCCAGCATTCTTTGCTATCACAATCTGATGAAAATGATTTCAAAGATATCCCAAATGCTTTGTGGTCTACAGGAAGAATTGATGTAGGACTGTTGACAACTGTAGATCCAGTTAAAATAGTTCCTAAATCAGGCCAAGGATAAAACAATATCTGCTAAAATGTGAAGCAAAGGAAAATGTAAAACCAGTTATATAAATTTTAGCGGGTGCAGAAATAAGTCTGTTGTTTGGGCCATGTTATTTCAGAAGAAGGTAAAAAGCTACAAGAATGTCTTTTTATGTCTGCAATTACTGCAGGGCTTAGATTCCACATTATGAAAAAAAAAAACTTAGTGTGTTATAAGAAAAACTTAGTTTTTTTTATAACACACTAGTAGCTATGTCAGAGAAGCAGAACTGCAATTCACAAAGCTAAAAGTAGAACTTTTCTCAGCAACTGTCTTAGCTTTGCAAAATTATCAAAAACCGTGCATCCATATAGTTGACGGTTAAGCAAGTTATATGACCTGTGTGTTGTTACAGTCTCATGGTGATATGCTCATACCTGTAATGTCCTACTCTTAAGGGTTAAAGAGAACCTGTGGAAACAATAGCTCCCCCATATTCTTATTTTTTTATCTTTATTATGTTGTCTAGTTGGATGTGTGTATACATATATATATATATATATATATATATATATATATATATATATATATATATATATATATATATATATATATATATATATAAAACTGTAACTGAAGCGTGTAACAAAAGTAATTTCCCTCTGGGATAATTAAAGTATTTCTGATTCTGATTGAAAGCAGCAGCTGTTTTGAGCCATGAGTTTATTATGTCTCAACAGGAGGGATAATCAGTATAGTACAACAAGTATTTAATCCAACAACAGGATTAAATAACTACTTTAAAAATTTTTGCAGAGCATGTCTCACATGTTGAGAAGAACATGTAATCTGCCCAGAGCTCCTTTTGTTTCCCCACAGGAAGGCCTGAAGCCTGGAGACCAAGTGCTGATTAAAATCATCTAGGGGAAAATTGGGCATCTCCAAGGTGTGAAGGACCCTACACTGTGCAACTAGCAACTCCAACCGCTGTGAAGATCCAGGAGAGAGACACTTGGATCCACCAGAGTCATTGTAAGCTGATTAAAGATTTTCCTCAGCAAGAAGCCCAATTACCTTCACAGGGACCCCACGACTAAGGTAGGGATCTGTGGTGAAGCCCAGCTACAAAGCGGTTAAGCAATTTTAGAGCTTTTTGTTCAACGCTGGTGAAGAAACCAAACCTAACCCAATCCCTTAGGGTCCTGATTAGTGGGTGCTTCCTTGGAGGGACTGGTGAAGATGGGAAAACTAAAGTGGCTCTGCTGCCTGATGGTGACCATTGGACTGGTGCTCTTAGGGACTCAAACTGACCACCAGAAAAAAAGGAAAAAACAGAATGTTGATGGATCCACAGCAAGTCATCCCTATGGTGCCAATATGTGGTGGCAGCATTCCAAGCTCGTTGCTGAAGGTTTGAATAAAACAGACTGTTATGTTTGTACTCATGCAGACTGCTCTGGATGAGTTGAACATTTAAAGAGGTAGGTTGACCATCACACCTCCGGTGCAAGTCCAGCACCATGGACAAGTTGGTTCACCATGGGTTCATGGTGGCAGGTGCTGATGAAAATAGCTTAACCATTTGTAGGAGTGTTTTTCATATTTTTCCTTTTTATTTGTTGTTTAATACAGTGTCTCCAGTCAATGATTCAGAGAATGATAGGATCCACTCTAATCTAGTATTCAGCTGTAACTTATGTCCAACTCCGCTAAGATGCTGGTGCCGATACTGATGATATGGTGGCAACTGTGTAATCTGCTACAGGGATAATGATTGCTTCCTAGGGAAGGGTCGGGTAGGAATTTCCCTCTATTGGAGAGGTTTTGCCTACTCCAGGGACAGATTTTTGAAGCTTGTTACATTCTTGATAAATCTTACATTTTTGCTTACTGTAAGTTTTACATTTTAATCCTTTTCATATTTTTGGTTTTTTGCATATTGATATTTGATTACTGAATTCCCTATCTGTAATGCATTTATGATGTGCGTAGTAAAAATCTTTTTAGAAGTGCTACATGCTAATATTTATATGCACAACAGGAGGGAAATGTTAGGTTTATTCAATGATGATTATTAAAGTAATGTGTGTTCATATGAAACATTGTAGAAATGAGATGCTCCACTCCTGTCTCATGATTCAGTCAGAAGACCATCCTGCCTTGTCATTCTAGTGGAGCATCCTGTCTTTATGAACTGATCAATTGTTCTGTCAGAACAATACTCTGTTTGTAACCATGTGTCATGTTCTGTTAATAAAACGCTCTGCGGACAAGGTCCGGTGGGAGACAGCATATTTGAGTCTGGGGTTCAACTGTCTCTCCTTCTGCAGAAGTTGTATGAAAATCCATTACTGTGTATTTCAGTTCTTCTTCTTTTACAAAACCTTCATTTTTGAACCCAACAGTATGGTGTTTTAATAATAGCTTGTATAAGGCTTTTAACTAGGAATATTTAAGACAACGTGCACATTGGTGTATCACATCTTTCGGCTTTGTGCTGTGGGGGTGGAACATTTGAAATTTAGACTCTATGAAATGCTATTTCTTCCATTTTGAGGTGGAATACAGCTAAAGTTTTGTCTTTGTAACAACACCATTTTTGTCCTGATTATGGGAAGCATGTGTGCTTGACTAGAGGTAGAAATTTTATATGGAAGACATGGTATTATTTTAGGTATAATATTATTTTTCATAGGTTCATTCAAACAATCAGAAAGTGTAATGCTACGTTTGCACTGCACAGGATTAAAAAAAAACATCTGCTACTTCATTTTTGCTGCTTGTACTGTATACAGGTCAGATGGGTACAGATGCATCTAAGGCTTCTGCTGCACCTGTGTTCAATGGCTGAGAGTGGCTTTGCTATATTTCCTCTGATAAGTGAGTAAAAAGTAGTTTTAATATAATTTCATGCGAGAAAGTCCACCTCAAAACATTGTCTGTGCAGCCAGTTCATCAGGATTACGATCCTGTCCTAAAACATTATTTCACTGTTAGAGTTGCACAAACCTCCATACAACGGCAGTGCGCTGTTACTTGGAATCCACAGCAGCAGCTGCCTCAGGCCTGGTTGTCTCTTAGGGGTTTTTCACCTAATATTTGTGGCGGCCAGAAGTAGATTTGATCATTTTTCAGGTATGTGGTACAAACTTACAAACTGTATGCACCAGAATAATAAAAGCGAACATATTTTGGCAGCAGGTTTCAAAATTTTTTGTTATTTTAGGCAGTTTTTCGAGTGGAGTGATCATAGCGCTCGACAGCAACGCTGTCCGTCTTCCTCTCAGCTTTACTAATTGGTTGATGTGGCGTGTCAAGCAGCAAAAGTAAAACAAAAAAAAAAGTAAAACTCCAGAATCTGCTACTTGTGAAATTATAACATTTGAAGTTTCCAGCGGAACATTAGGGTCCAACAAACCCGTAAATACCCAAAAACGGACTGTACGATTTGTCACTTTTTTTAGTAAAGGGTGTACAATGTACGCCTCTACGCATTTTTTTTTTTAGCTAAAAGTGTGCCTGGGAGTCTTATGTTTTGGTGTAACTTTTTAAAGATGCAATAAAACATGTTCCAATACCCACTAGGTTCATCGAATAAACATTCAACTGAAATTTAGTTACAAAACATGAATTAAAATGCGTCCTGGACGGATGTTCAGACCTGAGAGATTCCAGTTTGCAGTTTGGACTGTTCAGTCCAGAAAACAGCAGCTCCACTCCAGAATCCTGCAGCTTGTTGTTACTCAGATCCATCTCTCTCAGATTAGAGGGCTGGGAGCTGAGAACTGAGGCCAGAGCTTCACAGCTTCTCTCTGAGAGGTTACAGTCATTCAGTCTGAAGAGACAGAGAAATTATAGAGAAAAATTCTCTCAGAAACCAAAACAATCATATTAAACAGACCAGGCTGTTATTGAAAAAAAAGAAAAAGAAAAAAAACTAGGAATCCCATAAGCAAAGCAATGCCTCTCCTAACCCTGAAAGAGATCAAATTTCAGACAAATTTCTATCTTCATCCTGTTTAAACTTAAACCTGCACTGATAGAGCTGCATTATTGAACCCTTTACTGCTGCAAATAATAATAATAAAAAAAAACATTTTAGCAGCCATGTTTTTTTTATCTACTCTGAACATCTGTTTGTCTTTGGAGGTTGTAATGGTGCAATCCCAAACCTGCCTGGAAACACTACAAAGCATTAACCTTTCAATTGCAAGTTCCCGCAAAGGGTCCACCACATTAAGGCCATCTCAAACCATGATGTTGAAAGGGCGAACGTTTTGTTCAGCTCTTAAATAGCAAGTATACATCAGTGTAGCGTCACTGGAATTTGGCTGCAGGTGTAACAGGAAACCAACGGAACAGGAAACACTAAATTTATTCCAATGTAGGTTATGCTGGTTTGCTGCATATTTATCACACTGACAGAAAATAACGGTTAGGAAAAAGGAAAAGATGGGAAAAAAATCGACTCTATTGAAACATTTTTATTTGAAGGCACACAGGGTTTTTTTTTTTTTTTAAGAAATCGATATCAAACATTTGACATCAAACATTTGCTGCTTTCCAGATTGCAAAATACTTTTACCTACTGATATGAAAAAAGTTAGCTCGACGTAAACCTGCACCACAGCGCTGTAGCCATGCACATGGAGTGTCACTGTGTTGACTTAGCAATGACTGCTTTACTTTTCCAACAGAGTGAAGGGGGCATCACTTCCACAGCTGCGAGTGTAACTTCACTGGGGCTGAATCCAAAACCACCCCTAAGCACTTACCCCAACGGAAAAGGAAAGCAGTTGTTTCTAAGGCAACGCCGTGACGTCCATTTGCATGCCTGTAGCTCTGTCGCACAGGTTGACACAAAATATAACAAATATAACTTTCTTAAAACAAATATGTATGGTCCATTAATTTTTTTCAAAGAGGACCTTCCATTTTGGAATTAATAACTTTTTTTTTTTCTTATACCCAACTCGCTGGTGGAGATTCTCAGTCATCTAGGTCATATTCATAAAAAAAAAAAAATTAAAAGTTAAAAAATTAACCACTGGACTTTTTTTTCCAAGTTTGAAGATGTTTCACTTCCATCCAGGAAGCTTTTTCAATTCAAAATGTCTGGATAATCGTTGAGTTCCAAGCTTTACAGAGTAGCCCAACAAAGACTTATTATGGTTTAGAAAACATGCAAACTGATCCGAAAGAACAGGTCCACCCTTCAGGAATTGTTGAGGTCATTGTTGGCCTAGCATAAATGTCGATGTCCAGGACAAGTGGGTTAAAATCCTGTCCAGCAATAAAGCAGACTGCTGTCAAAGCCAGAGATGGATGTAACCAGTGAAGGACTGAATTATGCCATTTCTCTAAAACATATGCCCATTGTGCAGCTGATCACTGCATCAGGAATATGCAGTGACCAGTGATGATATGTTGAATATGTCGCTGTGGAGCATATCATGTGAGTAAGTGGGTAAAGGGGAGAGAGGTCTTCTGGGGTAAACTTAAAATAATACATCACACTCTAGGGCAGGTGCCCTAGTACCATCTAGTCTGAACTCCCTTACGTAACAGATATTTTTACATCATTATCAACCTTTATTGAAGACACGTTAAGTTCATCACACAGTTACACTTCATGGTAATTTTCAGCATCTGTAGTCACTCTTTCTTTTCCTAGTGTCTTAACATATACTCCATCAGTACTTACAAAACTGTTTTTGAAGCTTTGACCACTGGCAGCAGCACGAGAAGAGCCTCTTCTGAAGCAGAGTATTTCTTCAGGTAATCCCGCAACTTCTCCCCAGAATCGTGGAGGTTATTGTTCTCCAGGTCAATCTCTCTCAGACAGCAGGACTTGGAGCTAAGAGCTGATAACAGAACTTTACAAGTTCTCTCTGAGAGGCTACAGGACCTAAGTCTGAGAAACAAGTCAAAGAAGAACAAACAGCTGTTATTTGGACATTAAAGCGTAAAACTGTTTCAATCTAGTAACCATCAGGAAGAGCAAGGTTTGAGCCGATAAAAATATAAACCCTATTTTGGGTAGTTGTTTATGTACCACTGTTCTGACCACTATAGGACGCTTATGTTTGGGTTGTGCATTGACATGGGGCTCCTTAGAACCTGGGGCCTCATGTAAGAAAGGGGCATATGCACTAAAATTTTTAAAGCTTTTAAATATATAAAGTATACTTGCTAGTCTGTTTACAAGCTAAACAGTTGCCTCGCCAACAGCAATTTTGCATATCCAAACTAAAACTGTTTTTTATACACATTCCTTTCTGTGTCAACAATGCATAGTGGTTCTTGGTAATTGTTCATTATTGGACTGAGTAAAACTGCATTGATTTGAATGTTGCCAAAGACCACTTTTACTCATCTGTTCAGTAGAGATCATCTATATTGCTAATCTGATGGATAATCCCTCAGTGCATCACAACAGGACTCATTGGATCCCTTTATTTTTTCTGATTCTTTCACATATTCTTTGTTTATTTTAGTAGCTTGTTGTGTTTTCATAGTTTATTAAATACAATAATACTGTTACAGGGATTATTAGGTCTAATAAAATTTAACATTAATCTAAGAGTGGTTATCTACGGTTATTTATAAAGCAGTGAAGATTGTCTCTGTGTCTAGAGCTAAATCAACTTTAATTTAATTCACAACTTGAATAGACAGAGAAATATTTGTCTTGTGTTTAATGAATAACAACTGTTCAATTTAAAGGAATAGTACACCCAAAACATGATTAGCCTTCATTTTCTACTCACCCCCATGCTGAACAACACTCTGGAGTACTTTTTTGATATCTCAAATGCATCTGGAGATCTAGGAGGCTTCTTGCTGTCTGCTGACATTCAAATAATGGAGGTCTATGGCGCCTGAGACAGAAAGGTCCATAAAAGTCCACAAAAAACGTGTCAATATTCCTCCATACTGCTCGTCCAATGTATTCCAAGTGTCCTGAGTGGGTAGCATCCAGAATTTACTCGAAACGAAGTCATTTAGAATGTTTTTAGAGCATAAACAGTAGTGTATAGGATTTCATAAAAGCGCGTTCACGAGTCTACGGAAACCGCGGCAGACCAAACCAGATGAAAGTGCGCATTCAGCTCGGCAAATAACTCATGCTCTTCCTCAACACTGAAGTCCTCAGACATTTTTCTTTCGTTGTTTCTTTCTTTGCACAGGTAAACAGCACATTTCTTCTTCTACGCTTGCATTATCGGCAGAGCAGACCCTGAATGCGCACTTTCATCTGGTTTGGCCTGCCGGCTTCCGTAGCTTCATGAACGCGCAGGGACGCGCTTTCAGGAAATCCTATACACTACTGTTTATGCTCTAAAAACATTCTAAATGACTTCGTTTCGACTAAATTCTGGATGCTACCCACTCAGGACACTTGGAATACATTGGACGAGCAGTATGGAGGAATATTGACACGTTTTTTGTGGACTTTTATGGACCTTTCTGCCTCGGGCGCCATAGACCTCCATTATTTGAATGTCAGCAGACAGCAAGAAGCCTCCCAGATCTCCAGATGCATTTGAGATATCAAAAAAGTACTCCAGAGTGTTTTTCAGCATGGGGGTGAGTAGAAAATGAAGGCTAATCATGTTTTGGGTGTACTATTCCTTTAAAACCAAGATATTGACATTTACTGATGATAAAGACATCTTAGATTTTAACAGCTGGACCGAAAACGTCTAGCTATAACGGTAAGCCATTAATAGCACTTATTGAGCAAACTGTCAGTTATAACCAAAGATCATGACTTGGTTTTTACCTTTGAGTTGAATGACATATTAACTAGCTATAATTTCAGTTGTAGTTATTGATATATTCATAACCTGCTGGTAAAATTGAACAACACCAGTCATGGTAACTACAAAACTGGCTTAAATTTTAGGCAACCAGACTTTTTTTTCAGTTTTTCAGGTAAAGTTTTGACACCTGTCCAGAAGTCTTAGTCAGTTGTGTTGGCTCATTCTACAGCTACCTGTAGTTGGAGCTCTGAAGTTTTTAAGCACCTGGAGACCCATAATCATAAACACATTAAAAGTCAAATGTAAAACAATTACCCTACTATTGTTCTCCTAGATTATTGGAGTCTGTTGGTTTTTGTATGTTTTTATTGTTTTGCCCTGATGAAGTCATGGCTGTAGGCTTCTGGTAGGTTAAATCTGAACCTCTGACATAAATAGCAACACACCTGTAGTGTATTTCATGGCCTCTTAAAACGGATTGCTTTCCTGTTTATTCTTGTTTTATCCCATAGTCATTTGGATCTTCACAGATATTTTTCCAGTACCAGCAATGTTTACATTCAGCTTTATACTGTTTCAGGTGAGAAATATGGTTAAATGCAAAGCTTGGTAACTAATTTCTTTTAAAACATCCAATTGGAAATCCAATTAGTTGTGATTCATTTTGCGTTTCCCTTCATCTTAAACTGCATTAGCAGAGTTTAGTGATAGCTGGGAGTCTGTTGTTTGTAGGAGTAACTTTTGAAAGTCTGAATAAATACCGTTACAATGCTCACTAGTTTCAACATATAAACATTCAGCATACATTTTGTTATGAAACAAGGCTTCAAATACATTCTGGACGGATGTTCAGACCTGAGAATTTCCAGTTTGCAGTTTGGACTCTTCAGTCCAGAAGACAGCAGCTTCACTCCAGAATCCTGCAGCTTGTTGTTACTCAGATCCATCTCTCTCACATTAGAGGAGTGGGAGCTGAGAACTGAGGCCAGAGCCTCACAGCTTCTCTCTGAGAGGTTACAGTCATTCAGTCTAAAGAGACAGAGGTAAAGATGATGAAGACAACTTTTATTATTGACTAAAATAAGTCAGATGCCCTTAAAGCTCAAAGGAATGCAATACATGCCAAACCCTAAAGCAGATAATTGGGATTAAACATAATTCTATGTGTGTATGCTGGGTAAACTCTGAATGATGTTTTAATCTACATAGACTCAAACAGGGACATTATCCTGAGGATTTTGCCCCATAGTAGAAAACTCACACTAGGATATGTTTTTTTGGTTATGATTCCTGTTACAACAAAGTGATGGTTAATAAATGTTTTTGTTGTTAGATAAGCAGCAAATAAAACTGTTTAATTATCAATAGATAGATACATTTTTTTTGATTTTTTTTTAGAATAGTAGAATACACAAGTCGTTGCCTTGATAAAGAGATTGAGCTATTTTTTTTTTAAACTCACTTGAGAATGGTTAATAATGGGGAAGTTTTCAGTCAGACTTTTCTCAAATATTGGAACAGAACATTTTTAAAGCCTTTGGAGTTGTTTAATATTTACACAGTTTAGTGCCCCAGCTGTAGCAAATGTTGGGAAAATCTCCTCTCATGAAGAGATAAGCTGCTTTTGGCTGTCTGGCTGCATTAAGCTAGTGGGAAAGGCTAACTTCTAACAGTCTTAGCCCAGAAATACTCAATGGGAGCTACAAACTACCCCACCACTCAATAAGAGATGGGTCAAATACAGAGGACACATTTTTTATTGGGAATAGGGAATATGTTTATTTTAAAAGTTATTCAGTAAGGGGTCTGTGTATTAAGTTATTGGAGAAAGAGAGTTGATTTATTATATTTTGGAGTAGAGCAAGAACTCTGCATCAAGTAAACCAAGCATCCCCAATCTCGGTTCTCAAGGCCCCCTGTCCTGCAGGTTTTAGAGGTTTCCTTGCTCCAGCACAGCTGATTTTAAATGAAAATTATTTAACAGGCTTTTGGTCTACTGCAATCATTATAATCAGCTGTGTTAAAGCAGAGAAACCTCTAAAACCTGCAGGAGCGGGCCTCGAGGACCGAGGTTGGGGATGCCTGAAGTAAACAAAGCTGTGGTGTCATGATTTCTGTCACTAGTGCTGGTCTGATATCAGCCTCCATTAGATTATTCTACTCACCTGACTATATAAAACCGGCTCTCAGACCAGTTGCTTGTGAATGATTATTACAAAACATTGGTGAGTTTAGTCCAGCATTCCTGTTACGTGTCCACCTGATTCTGACCTGATTCTGCCTCCTGATTCTTTGAGCCTGCCTGAACCCTATTGGACCTGTCATGGTGCGTATTTAGATCTCTGACCTGTTTTCTGTGCCTTGTACCCCGCTCTCAGATTCCCCCTGGATTGTCTCTGGGTGTGGTTCACAGGCTCAGACTGTCAACAAGCTCTCAGATGCCGAACTCTGAATTTTCTCCTTGATCATTCTGCCTTTCTCTGCTCTCATGCATCTAACTCTGTTAAAGTAATCCTAAAGTAGTAAAAAGTAGCCAGAGAGGAAAGGGTTGTGAGGACATTTTCTCAGCCCTTCTTTTCTTTCTTATTTTTTTTAACAATCAAAATATATTTTTAAACATATTTTTCTCTCATATTTTGATTTCTGATCTTTAGTACAATCCTGAAATGGGAGACAGTGTCCTAAATTCGGAATACCTGGAATAGATGGCTTTCAGCAGTTACTTTTAAAACCATTTGAGTATTATATTCTTTATTTGTTTTATCCAATTTAACATAGAGGAAAACTGTGGGTCATGTTTGTTGGAGCACAACATGAAGAATATAAAACTGCTGCAGGTTTGGAGGTACCAGGTTTTTAAGGAAGTATTGGATTTGATATCCTCCTCCCTTTTAGATGTGATTAATCTATTCCTGTTACAGGGATATGTACCTCAGGCTTTTACGGAAGGTGTAATTAAAGTGCTAGGCCCAATTCTCTTTACTATATAAATGTATCCAATCTGTAGAATTCTTGGAGCATGGGATTGATTTCCACTGTTATGTTGATGATACGCAGCTATATCTGTTTATAAACACAGATGAAGTTAACCCATCACATAGACTACAGGCATGTCTTGAAGACTTCAGCCCCAATTACGCTACTCTCTAAAAACCGATCCGTGCCGAGTTCGGACCAAGCCCAGTTCCTTATGACCATTTACACACCACACTAGCATGGTTCCTCGCCTCCTAGTGACGATCTACGGTTCTACTGCTCTCTGGAAGGAAACAAGCTAATCAACATGGAGGCACCTTGTTGATTTGCCAGAGGAACTCCATCTGAAGATAAGTTATTTTCTCTGTGATATCTCTGTATCTAAGTAACTCTAACTGACCAAAACTAATTTAAAACATAGCACCTTCTGCTGCACTTTTCTACTGAGCACTTGTCAGTTTCACACGGTTTTATTTCTGATAGCAAGGAGTAGCTAGCCTAGGCTAGCGCTAGCTTAGCTTTGCTATGGCTTCTCTCTCTCTCCCTCCCTTGATTCTTTTCCAACTCTTCCTTCTTCCTCTCCTCTCTCCTGCTCTCTGTGTCAGATGTTCAGTTATTCCTCTGCCTCCTTTAGTGATAATGGGATGTGTAATAAGTGTAGTATCTTTGTAGCTTTGGAGGCGAGGGTGTCAGAGTTAGAATCCAGGCTTCAGGCTGTTGAACATCCAGGAGTTAAAGTAGGCCCCCCACGTAGCTGTCCTCCAAAAGTGCCTGAGCAGCCAGGTGATTGGGTAACTGTACGCAGAAAGCGTAGTCATGGATCTCTGCCCACTGGTCACCACCAACCCGTTCACGTTTCTAACCGGTTTTCCCCACTCAGTGACACACCCACTGAGAAGCCCACTCTGGTGATTGGCAGCTCCATAGTCATAAACGTGGCATTAGAGACACCAGGGACCATAGTCAAATGTTTGCCGGGGGCCAGAAAGGGCGACATCAAATCCTACCTGAAACTACTGGCTAAGGATAAGGTTAAATACAGTAAGATTGTTATTCACGCTGGCGGTAATGACACCCGATTACGCCGATCGGAGGTCACTAAAATTAGTGTTGCCTCGGTGTGTGAGTTTGCCAAAAAAATGTCGGACTCCGTAATTTTCTCTGGTCCCCTCCATGATCTGACCAGTGATGACATGTTTAGCTGCATGTCGTCATCCAACCGCTGGTTGTCTAGGTGGTGTCCTGAAAACAACGTGGGCTACATAAATAATTGGCAATCCTTTTGTGGAAAGCCTGGTCTGATTCGGAGAGACGGCATCCATCCCACTTTGGATGGTGCAGCTCTTCTTTCTAGGAATCTGGCCACATTTATTAGTCCTCCAAAACCCTGACCACCCAGGGTGCAGACCAGGAAGCAGAGTTGTAGTTTAACACACATCTCTGCAGCTTCTCTACTGTTACCCACTCTTTACTCCATCCAGACAGTGTCTTGCCCACGACCAAAATCTAATAAATTAGCAAATATTCCCAAAGGAGTAAATCATGATAATCTAATTAAAATCAAAATAACTCCAATTGGGGAAAAAGTTAAAACAATTAAATGTAGTCTGTTTAACATAACATCTTGTTCCTCTAAAAGTCTGCTAGTTAATGACTTGATTTGTGATAGTCACATTGACTTGTGTTGCCTTACAGAAACCTGGCTGCAGCAAGAGGATTATGTGAGCATAAATGAGGCAACTCCTTCAAGCTATTTAAATTTTCACATACCCAGAAGTTCTGGGCGAGGAGGAGGAGTAGCAACAATCTTCCAGTCTGACTTACTAATTACTCCCAATACCTACAACTCTTTTGAACATTTAACCCTTAATTTCCCTGATCCAAATTTCAAGGCAAGAAAACCTCTTCTTTTTGTAACTTTTTATCGTCCACCAGGTCCTTACTCTGAATTTTTAGATGAGTTTTCAGAGTTCCTTTCTGATTTGGTATTAAATACTGACAGGGTCATCATAGTGGGAGATTTTAAACATCCATGCTGACATTGAAGGTGATAGCTTAAGAGCAGCCTTTAATGCTATCTTAGACACTATTGGCTTTGTTCAAAATGTGAATAGTCCCACACATTCTCATCTTCATACTTTGGATCTTGTGCTGACATACGGCATAGAATGTGAACAAATAACAGTATTTCCTCACAACCCTGTCCTCTCTGACCACTTTCTAATAACCTTCAGGATTACTTTAACAGAGTTCTCCTCCCCCAAAAGAAGGTTCAATTTTAGTAGATCTTTATCAGATAGTGCAGTTATACATTTTAAAGAATCTGCTTTACTTTCTCTCTCCTCTTTGTCGCTGAGCAGTGCTGCAGAGTGCAAAAGCATAGCTTATTCCCCTTCACAGGTTGATGATTTTGTTGATGGGGTTGCTAGTTCTCCATGTACTGCCTTAGACAACGCAGCTCTTTTGAAAATGAAAACCCGTTAAAAATAGAAAGCTTGCTCCTTGGTTTAATGCAGAGCCACGTACTTTGAAGCAAAATGCTAGGAAACTGGGGAGAAAATATCGCTCCACAGGCCTGCGGGAGTCCTTCCTAGTCTGGAAAAACAGCTAACTGCTGTATAAGAGGACCCTTTGTAAAGCAAGAGCAGCATACTTCTCCTCAATAATAGAGGAGAATAAGAATAATCCTAGATTTCTTTTTAATACAGTTGCCAAACTCACCCAGAGCCATAGCTCTGTTGAACCATCCATTCCACCTGCTCTTAGCAGCAATGATTTTATGGGATTCTTTATAAATAAGATTGATTTTATTAAAAATAAGATCATAAGCACTCCTCTATCCGCGATTGTACCTGAGGTAGTCATGGAATCTGAACCGGGTTTAGACTGTTTTGATCCAATTGAACTTTCTGAATTTGCAAAATTATTGTCTTCATCTAAGCCTTCAACTTGTATGTTAGATCCAGTTCCAACCAGGTTATTTAAGGAGGTATTCCCTTTGATCTGCTCCTCCATTTTAGATGTGATTAATCTATCTCTGTTGCTTTTAAGAT